TGCTTCTAGCTAGTTCTTAGCTAGGCGTTCTTCGTCGATAGTCCCGAAGGTCGCCTTTAATATTTCTTTAAAGTTATTATAGTACGCGAAGATATCTTTCGTCTCTTATTTTCGGTATTAGTAAGTATTAGTTACGAAGTCCCTAAGAGTAGGTTCGAACTATACGAGAGCGGCTCTTAATAAATATCCTACCGCGTAGCGTACTTTATCTTCTTCCGTACGAAGGATAGATAGGAAGTACTATTAGTAAGCTCTAACCTAAGTTAGGAACCCTTAAAGGTCCTTAGTCGTACTATCGAATAATCCTAGTTAGCGTGGCTTTATAATCTCTCTTAGGTCCTTGCCGGTAGCCTATCAAATAATATTATTACTCACGCTATTTATCTTATTTCTTAGCTAGGCGGCCTAATACTATTATAAGGTTATTCCTTCGTAGAAGGAACGGTAGGCTTCGTCGTACTATTACTTATCGCGGGCCTATATATCGAGGACTTACCGTAGCTACCCTTATAACTCTTAGATCTACCCCTTAAGGATCTTCGTGTCCTCGTTATCGGACTCGTCCGAGTCTAAGTCTATAGACTAAGCTATTTAAGAGGTCTTAATATACTTAGCCGTAGCTTTACCCTTATCGGTAGACTTAAGGGTTATCTTAGAAGATTCGCTAGCTATAATATCGTATTACTTAAGTACCTTAATATAGTAGTATATTAAATAAGAGCTATTAATATATAACGTTTAGGTTAGGCTAGCTATAGGGTAGGTAGATCTAAAGTTAGTTTATAAACTAAGTATACTAGGATATTATTAACTTAAGCGGTCGGGTTATAGTCTATATACGAGATAGTAGATCTTACGTAGATAATTATATTAATAGCTAAGGAGCTAGTAGAGACTAGCTATAATAAAGCTAGGCTTCCTATATACTAAGTAAATATTATATAGTCGACGATAGGCGACTATCGTCTACGAGCGCCTTTATAGTATAGTCGACTATAGTCGCTAGTCGCTTATAGTTATTTATTCTACGTGGTATACGGGTAACGTATAATAAGAGGAAAAAAGCGGGGGGCACGTAAGAGGCGCATGCGGTTGTATGTCGGGTCGTAACACTCTTAAAGTATCTATTAATAATACTTTACCCCCCGAGAACGATTATCCGTCCCACGAAGCCCTTATTTAGGCCGCTAATATATAGGTAGCCGCTAGAGGCTATATATTTATAAGCACGAAGTCGAAAATAATATCGAGCGGTCGGCGGGTTATATATATTAGCTATAATCGGCGAGGAGTAAGGCTAGATATATCTATTCCGCGCGTATAGAATATAACCTCTAAGCGGATAAGATATAAATTCTCGATCCTTATAAAAGAGTCGCTTAATAAGTCGGTCTAGCGCCTTATATATCGCGATAATACTAAGTTTAGGTATTATAATTATAGCCCTAGTATCGATATTACGGCCTATTTAATCTATCGCTAATTATCCGATACCGATAGATCTATAATTAATAATCTCGCGAGCGTTAGAGTATAGCCGAGGGATATTCGGACTTACTTACGCACGTAGTTTAATATACTAGCGACTTAGTAAGATATCTATAATTATATTACGCGAGGTAAGAGAGAACTTTAAGAGGGGGAGAGTACTATATACGCGCTAGCTAATAAACTCGAGAATAAGGGCTTTTAGAATCGTATCCGGTTCGATAATACTAGCTAAGTTATAGCTATATTATTTACGTATCTAAAGTCGATAGGGTACTTAAGTATATACTTAGATACCTTTATTCTTAATTATATATATAAGACTAATAAATATCGGATACCCTTACTCGATATAGTTAGCGTTAATACTTACTAATAGTCTTTCTATATCGCCTTTATTTTCTTTAGCGGGGAAGAGGAAGAGGACTATATATAAGCGTTAGACCGGCTACGCTCGATATACGAGACCTACGGTATAAGGCTACTAATTATTATCCTTACCGATCACTACCTTACCTATATAAATATTATAGCCTCTTACTTCCCTAACGCGGTATCTTTATTATACCTTTAGTATATTAATAAGGTAGTCCTTTTATATTACTTACCGAGCTTTAAAAAAAAAGGTATTAGCGCGCCGGAGGGCTAACTTATATAGAAGGATTTCTATAAGATATAATATAAGCTAATCGCCTCTATATTTAACGAAACCTTTAAGTAAAGGCTCTAAGCTCTTAGGGATCGTTATACTATAATATATACTTAAGAGGTTTATTATATTATAGAAATCTAGCTCGACCTATATAAAGAGAGGCTTATAAAAGCCTAAGTTAATAAATATATATACTTCGATAATATAGTTATATCCCGTAGCGAGGGTATTTACTAGCTAATTAAGATCTATCTTAATATAAGCTAGCTAGATCTTTTTAATACCTAGAAGTTAATTAAGCGCGTAATTATTAATTAGCTAGCCTTACTTCGGGAGAATTAAGTTAGGTAATAACTTCGTATACTTATTAAACTTAATAAGAGGCTATATAATACCGTATACGGCTAGATATTATACGAGGCGTTATAGAAAGTTAAGGACTAAAGGAAGTTACTTATATTAGGCACGGAGCTTCTTACTTATATAGGATAATTTATATCGTTACTCGGACTCCCTTACGCTTATATACTTAAGCCCTTTATATAAGAATAGCGCCCCTTCTTATTAGAATATTTCTATATATATTAATACCTTTAGCGAGAAAAGAGGCTATAATTCCTTATCGAGCTATAATAATAGTTTAATTAGGCTATAGCGCGATTAACGCTATTAAAGATAAGTACTTACCGCGAGCTAAGCGTATTTAAAGCTATTAAGGAAGCCTCTAGGGCACCGATACGAGCTAGGGTAGCGCTTATATACTTAGCGTATAGTAAGGTTAGCTATACGAAGGTATTACGGCTATATCGCTTACGCTATATATATATTATACTATCGTTAATACCGGGGGTAGCGTTAGTATTAACCTTATTATAACCTTATAATAACCTTACTATACCGCCGCTGCCGCCGCTAGTATTATTACCGACTTCTTTAATAAAGTTCGTGCTAGAGCTAGTATTAAGGCTTAAACTAGCGCTAGAACTATAGCTAGAGCTTACGCCGGAACTATAGCTAGAGCCCGCGCTAAAGTTATAATTCCGCTATAACTATCTATACGCTATATATAAACGATATATTATTAATCGAGAGGCCTAGTATAAAGGGCTACTATAAGGTAGTATAAAGATTAACTAGCTATATCGGAAAGCGATAGGCCTATTATTACGCTTTAGTAAGAAAGTATATAAATATTATCTTAATTATAAGCGGATAAGTAAGTAATATACTATAAGAAAGCTACGTAAGGATTAAACTAAGGAAGAATAAATAGCTTATTTAGACTAAGAAAAGAAAGAGGATAAGCGAGTTAAGGTTTAGGTTATTATTAATATAGCTAAGGAAATAGCTAGCGGTAGATCTATTTATAGATAAGGGATATAGGATTTTTAGGATATAGCGGAGAGGGATATAGAGGAATAATAAATATTATACGAGGTATTATACTTAAATTAAGCGAAAGGCACGTTTAGTAATAGCTTTACTAATAATATCTTTAATATCTTTAATAATAATATTATTAATAATAGCGTTATTAATAATAGCGTTATTAATAATAGCGTTATTAATAATAGCGTTATTAATAATAGCGTTATTAATAATAGCGTTATTAATAATAGTATTATTAATAATAGCGTTATTAATAATAACGCTAGTAATATCTTTAATAGCGTATTTAAGTATCGCTAATAGCCTTATATACAAAATTAATTCCTCGCGCTTAAGACCTTTACCTTAGCCTATATTTATTATATATAACTTACTACTTAATTACCTACCTAGCTTCCCCTTTTTATTTACTTCCGCGATACCCTTATATATTAGGATTACGATTAATTTAATAACTTAGTCTAATAATTAAAAAATAAGATCTTTTTAGCGTAATAATTATAAGCTAGTATATCCTTTATACTAAAGCTAGGTAGCTAGCCTCGCTTACGTTCGTCGGATACTTAAAGAAATTAAAGATATAGCTATTCGTAATTACTAATCTAAGCCGGGTTATTAACTCTTAGGAGTCTTTTTTAAATTTATATTTAGCGATAGTTCTTAGTATTAGCTTTAATCCGTCTCTTTATTATAAGACGCGCTAGCTAGGTCTAATAGATCTAGGTTTGTATCGGAGTAAAGTAATAAGTTAATATAAAGAGCGAGGATTTATACCTTTTTTTTTTAGTTCTATTACGACTTATATATATACCGTATTATAATACTATAAGCGAGGGGGCCGTAATAATAATATACGTTTCTTTATATAGCTATTACGAATAATAACGCGATATAATTAAGCCTAAATAGGAAATTCGTAGAATAAGAGGCTATAAGTTCGAATTAAATAAAGATCTTACGATATTATTTTTTTAATAAGAACCGCTATTAAGGTAGAAGTTATAAGGCGTTAAAATAGTATAAGTTAATAATAAAGGTGCCGGGCTATAGTGGCCGTTGCTTATATAAGGAATCTTATTTGGGCACCTAGGTGCGATACTTATTTAGGCACCTGGGTGCCCGCCTATGGGGCCCCGCGCTAGGGTGGCGAGGACAAGGAACAGAGTGCAGGGTCTATTTGTCGCCTGTTCCCTATTGAAGCTGCTGGCCTGTGGTATCGAGAGAAAGATTAAAATCCAGCTTTACACGATTTATGCTTGTGGGATGCCGCGCTATGAATGAAGTGGGAAAATCATTGGCAATTGCTCGCAGGTATAAAGGAACCGCCTCGTGAAGCTGGCCACCATCATGTGCAGGAAATAAACTGGGTATTGGAACTTGAAATACGCTTCAGTGCGATTCTCCGTGTGTAGAAGACGCTGAAGTTCATCATAACCTTGGGAAAACATCATGGACCACGTCTGTTGATGAGAGCTCGTACAATCGAACCTCCTTGCACTGACATCAAGCCGCATCTGGTGGAGCCCCTGTGACGTGGGGGCAAGCCTGGGCTTCTCACTCTTCCAACCTGAAGACTTCAATAACTTCAAGCTCAATTCATGACAGCCTGAGCGCGCAAGAACGAGACATCAGGAACCGTCGAGAACGAGCATTCATTGCCATGGAGACCCAAACTCGAAAATTGGTGGACAAGGTCCTCAAGAAACTCCAGGATCTGCCCTCAGACAAGCGCTTCCGTATGTCAATGACAGACCCTTTCTCATTCGAGGAACATGGCTGACAAGAACAGTCATTGGCATAGCAGGTATTCCAGGCTCAGGAAAGACGACTCTGGCCGATGTCGTCGCAAAAGCTGTCAACGAGGCTATGGACGATCCTCGAATCGCCCAGGCCATATCCATGGACGGTTACCATCTGACGCGAAAGCAACTCTCCGCCATGCCAAATGCTGAGGAGGCGCACGCGCGTCGGGGCGCGGCATTTACGTTCGACGTAGATGCCTACTTGGATCTGGTGACTGATCTGAGAAAACCCCCTACCAAGGCGATAGTAGCGCCGACATTCGATCACAGACGGAAAGACCCCATTCCGGGAGACATCTATATCGGCAGAGAGAACCGGGTGATCATTGTGGAGGGCAATTACGTTGCGTTGAACGAGCCCCTGTGGAAAGATGCAAAGTCTCTGTTTGACGAGGTGTGGTTTGTCGAGGTCGACTTTGAAGTGGCGCGGCGACGGTTGAGAGAACGGCACGTACGAGCCGGCATCGTGTCCACTCTGGAAGAAGGCGACAAGAGGGCGTTAGAAAATGATCTTGTCAACGGTCAAGAGATCCTGGACAAGAGGCTGCCTGTGGACGAGGTCGTACAGAGCAAAGAAGATGGGCAATGGGTACATGAATAGATGAACGCTACATAGACGCCGGATCAAATCCTCTTGTTCAAGCATCTTGCTTTGGTGCCTCGACCGGCGAGGTTGCTGCTGGTCCAACTCCGTTGAACGCACTGAGCTCACTCATCTGCCGCGCCATACTGTTCCCGGTCCCTTTTCTGCTCCTCGATGCCTTGTCCCATTTCTCTTCTTCCTTCTCGTTGTTGTGCTGCTTGGCACTCATGCCGAGAACCTCCATAAGCTCGGGCATTTCGCAGTGGTCGCGGGTGGATTTCATGCGGTGGCACCAGGTTACCCTCTTCTCCTCCACGCGTACCTCGTCATCATCGTCCGCGCCGCTCTGGCTCCTGCTGTTGCCGCCAGCGGCGTCGGGAGCCCCAAATTGCTGCTGCTTCTGCTCCTTGGGCGTGCCGATGGGGGTGACCATGTCTGCCGGCTCGAACAGAAATTCACCGCCCACCTGCCGCTGGTTCCCGGCCTTGAGCATCAGTCCCGACGGAATTGCTTTCAGTCCCTGGGCGATCCCGGCCATTGTGGACTGCAGCAGCGACTGCTTGATGTACGCTGGTTTGCCCCCAAGATTCAGCGTCTGCTGCATTCCCAAGGCATCGTACAATGATCGCTTTGGATCAGTATAGATCGGGAATTGGCATTTCGTGGTCTTTGCGTAGTCATCGATAAACGCAGAGTCGCCGCAACCAACGATGACGATAAACGTGCTCAGAGGCAGGGCGAGAAGGGAGTCGGGTGTGATCGTCTCGGACAGCGTTCGTATGTAGTCCTGGCACATCTAGAGGTGTTAGCTGCAGCTGAAGCTGGTCAAAGGCGTCTCGAAACCTACACCACAGTAGAAGTGCCGTATAAATATCACCATGACCCTGCGTGCAACGTTGTTGCCGCTGTAGAGTGACTTGAAAGCATGTGATCGGCCATGGCGATCCAGCACAATGTAATCTTCAATCTCCCTAATTGTGCCTAGCGAGGGAAGCTCATTGTTCGTCTTCACCTCACCCTCGAAATCGCGTGGGTTCTTTTTGTCAATGTCGATGAAAGACTGCCGGACCGGCTTGCGGGAGATCTTCTTCTCGGCGGCTGGTTTCTCGGAATTCGAGGCTGGGGCCGGCGCAGGCAAAGAGCTAGCTTCCACGTTGGGTTTCTCGTCTTGCACGGGAGTCTCCTCCTGCTTCTCAGCCATGGCGATAAAATGGTAGGGACGCTGGTTGAACGCTCAAAGAAGGGGATATTGCAACGACACGATGAGAAATGCACAAGGCAAGCAACCCAAGAAAAATGGCGAGCTGAATCGCCCCAGGTATCGTCACCCCGGATTGTGGGTTTGTCGGCGGCGGCTAGACCAGGTCCCAGGATGGCCGCGTACTGCGCCACGACGATAGTGGCCTTGGCCAGTTCAACCTTCGCTTCTTGCGACATGAATCTACCCACAATGTCAGATGCTAGTTGATTCACACAGCTTGAAGGTCATCTTGTATCTGATCTGGCTCGAAAATGATGCTGCTGTATCGACAGGGAAGCCAGACGACGACTACCTTATGCACCGGACCTATTAGTGAGGTCATGCCTCCAAACTCTGGAGCCTCGTAGGCGGTACGTTGGTTTGACTACCCTATATAGTCGCTAAGTTTCATGTTAAGGCCCTTCACCGTCAACTCCTGACGGAAATGTTAGACTTCTTACAATAGGTAACTGTGACTGGAGGACAGCTGCGGGTTTTCGGTATTTGCCCTTACAGTCACAATCCTTTCGGGGAACTCTAAGGGAGTGATTATTCCCAGAACTTCTTTTCTGTCATAGTGGCACGGGTTTGCGTTACGCTGCGTCCAAAGGACTGTGAATAATCGAGTGAAATAAACCCAGGACAAAACAAGTGCTCCCGTCCTTCGTCTAGTGAGTTACTATATTGAATGAAATTCTCTGTAATGCTCTCGTATGTTCAACGCAAGCTGTCCTTTGTCTCTATGTGTCCCACCACATCCAATACGTATAGTCTCAACGAAGGGTCAAATCCGACCGTGGGGCATTCATTACACCTCAAATTCTATCGTCAACCAAGCAAGCACCAACACACTCACACGGCACTTCCCATCATCGCCATGGATCCAGAACTTGGAGGCTTATTCTCAATAACCCTGTCCGATTCCGAACCTGAAGAGACGACCAAGACTGAGCCACCTCGCGATCGCACAGGCCAGTCTGAAGAAGCGTACCAAGCCGTGAGGAGAGACTATCGAGTCAAAGTTGAAAACGGAGAGGTCGGTTCAAACTGACGACCAGCAAATCCAAGTGACATGTCTCGTTGACATTTCTAGGTCCACAATATTGTCAAGTTGCCGGTTGAGAAGGGAGCCAAGAAGCACCAGATTCAGGACGTCCTGTACGCGGCAGAAGAATTGTACTTTTTCCGGCGATACAGTGAAGCCACAGACTTCCTCCAGCAAGTTCTGAAGCAGGGCGAAGGGCAGAGCCACGGATTTGATGAGGAAACGAGGGCTTTATTGGGCATGTTCCTCACTAAATGTCTGGAAAAGTCTGTAAGGTGATTGATTCTTCTTCAAATCACTCATGAACTTCGAGCGCAATGACAACGACGATACCTCCAGATACAGGATTGCAATAAAGACGAACGCGACCACAGGCAATATACTACATCCTAGCCTTCCAATCGATTGTCTGTCTGCCTTATGTCCCCGAGACGAAGCTTCCACCCTCAACAAGCCTACATCGAGTCTGTGAGCTTTTTCCCAACCTTGTTCATTTGTGGCATCTCAGGAGACATGGGGATGTGATCCGATAGCAAAGAATTTGATCCCAAGAATCCCGCGGCTTCTTGGGAGCATGTCTTGGAAGGCGAGGTTTCGTTGACTGTAGTCACGCTTTGGCTGTCTGTGACACCCTTGGACTGGCCATTCAGTTTCTCTCCAATCTCGGGTTGACGAGCTGCCTTAGCATCTGGAAGTCCGGGATTTATTGTCATGGCTGCCAATCGCTCTGTCATTCTTGTGACATTCGGCACTGACGTGGCGATATTCTTCCGTGGTACCGAGGGCGACATTGATATCTTCAAGTCTGCGCCTGTTGCAAGTCAGCGACTGTGGACCACGGCGGTATACCATACTGACCTGGGCGATACACGTGCTTTTGAACATCTGGATCTTGGCTCATGCCATGCAAAGGGACACGTGCGTCCTGTCGCCGCTCTTCCATGTCCTTCGCGCTGAAGACCCTCGAATCGAAGCCGCGCATTGAATCTGGTCGCCCGTGCCGAGACTGATGGGCAGTTTCACCACCATTCTTATCTCCAGAACATGAAGACATGCGTGCAATGAGCCCGAGTACTGTTTCCTTGCATTGGAAGGGATTTTCCCAGTCATTGTGATCCTGATCTTGGAACTGGCGCATAGCGATGTTGGCTATGAGGGCGCTGTGCTTCGAAAGACCCCCATGCTTGTTCGAAAGACTCACTACTTCCCTCAGAGCCGAAACTAGCGCAGCAATTTTCGTCTCCATCAAAGAGCCGAAGGCGGTGTTCTCCTCATTTAGCGTATTGATGTCGATCAGCGTGTTGTTAGTCTCAATTTCAGGGGCTGAAAGTTGGGAACCGAGAGGCTGAATGTCGTGGACAGGACGTGATTGAACAACCTCCTGCGCAGCATCAACCTCGAGCGGTGGCTGCGCCCCGTCCCTCATATTTTCCTTTATCTCGAGAAGGGCCTCTTGAAATCCCCTGGTCTGCTCTAGATTTCTGAGATAGATCCTGTACTTCTTCTTGTGCGTAAGTGTCTCGAAGCGGCAAACCCCTCCCTCTAGAGTTGGGGTCGAGATGTCTGTGATAGCATGACGCCGCATATCTGTGGCAGATGCCCAGAAGCACAGATATTCCATAAAATCATGCTCGTCCTCCATTGCGATCTCAAACCTGACTTGGAGAGAGCCACTGATGATACACTTGCCGCTGTAAACGATTGTGCGCAGCGGATTGTTTGGATCTGCCGCGCAGGTCCAAGCGCCAACACACTCACTGAGTTGCTGTGGGGTGACCGAGGCCGTGTGAACAGGCGGACGGGGCGAGGAAGTTGCAATTTTGCTGCGAGTGTCAGCGTACTTCGTAGAGAAAGATGAGGAAGAACATGTAGTACGGAGTAGCTTTTGCAACGTTCTGCCAACTAGAGTCTCCATGGGCAAGTCCACGTGTTTGGTACGCCTCGGCATCATCAATTGAGACTGATCAAAACCGTTAGCGACTGCGCTGGTAAGAAGTGCTTCAGAAGACATGCCTCCCCATCCTTGAGCGATCTTGGGAGGCTTCCTGTTGTGGACAAGATCGCTGTAATTATTTCCGCCACGACTGCTTTTATCGAGCGGGAGCTCTTCTTGACGGTATCGACCTAGGTCATAACGCATTTGCTATGATTTCTTGTTTAGTCTTCGAAAGCGTAAAGGTCACACTCATACTCACCGCCGCTGCAGCGGAAAGATTGCTGGCGAGATCGGCCATCCCGAAGTCTTGAGGCGGAACGTCGAGGCACACGAGACTGGAGATGCAAGAGTAAGGTAAAGTCTGGGAGAAGCGGAGAAGGGGCAAGAAGGAAGAGTGTGAAAGGCAAGTGACAAGTAAGGTAGGAGGAACCAGGGTCACATTCACCGTAAAGCACTGGCACCTGCTCCGGGTGCTGGAGGTAGGTCGGTGAGCTAGGACGGTGCAAAGGATGGGATGATAAAGTGCCTGGCACTCAGAAGAATCAAAACAAGGTACCTTAGGTACCTTATACCAAATCTGATATAATGGCCCGGGGAAGAGAGATGGAGCGAAGGCACTTCTATCCAGTCGTTCGTTGGTAGTATCCCATCGTCAAGTGCCCTCGAGTTCAACCAAAGGAAAGAACGACCAACCCTTCGCGCCATTATTACTCCCAACCTAGGTAAGGTTAGATACCTTGAAAAAGGCTCGAAAGGCGACACTTGAGTGGCGGGGCAATTTATCAGCACAAACAAACCCCAAAGGCAAACTCCAGTCATCTGCTCGTACTTTGGCTCGCTTTTAGACCTTCCTTCATGCACACTGTGTTATTCCGAAGGTCGAAATGCGCATATGTTGCAATATTATCATGTTATAATGCTCGCTACGAAGCAGATTCTGTCGCTGTTCTCTGCCAACTCCGGGTTCGCCAAGTTCTACTCCTCCTTCTTGCGCTGCAGCGACTTCTTGACTTTGTCGACCGCCTTTCCGAGACCACCAAAAACATATCCGAAACCAAAGCTCCAGCCCTTGACTCGGACGGTATAAATGAAAAAGTAAACAAGCGCCCAGTTCGAGATGCAAAAGGCGAGGAAGATACCAAAGTCTCTCCACTTCTCACTCGCCTGAATATTGAGGGTCTGCAAATACTGGTCACCGGAACCATATGGACAGTATTGGCACCCGCTGGTCGCATCAGGGTTCAACAGATAGCCACCCGCTTGCTCAGCAAACGATCCAGCATACCTCTGGCAGGTCTGGCCAGGCGGGGCATCAAACATGGCGGTCTCTAGCGAGGAACACTCCACGGGCTGATCATGGAGGGTCGCAGCGAGGATGCCACCGACCCAGTACGTCGAAGGATTGACGTAGTACATCCAGTACTTCCAGAAGACAGGGAGCGATGCGTATGGACGTACGACTCCGTTAAAGAGACCGAACATGACGAAGAAGAAAGGCAAAACCTGTCTCGAAGTTAGTCTTGCCATCAATCAGGGGGTTATTTGTTACTGACATTGGAGATGACAGTGAAGTTGGGCGCAAAAGCACAGATCCACTGCCCCCAGCTGTTCATGAAAAAGAACATCAATAGGGTCATCAAGAAGACGTAGCCTGATACAGAGCTCTCAGCAGGCAGGCCCGTTGCCCAGTACCAGAGCACCCAATACAACACGCTGGAAACGATTGCACCCGGAATCTCGGCGACAATATTGGCAGTGCAGAATGCGACCCAGCCATAGATGCGAGATGGATACTCGCGAGCCTGCCACAGTGCCAGGTTGGTGTAAAACTTGGGCACGACACCATTGACAATGGTTGGGGGGATGGTGACGATGAGGAAGCAAGTGAACATGCGGTTCTGCATGTCCTGGATGCTGTACCCGAGTTGCCAAAAGGTGAAGCCGTTGAAGATACCCATGATCACCGAGATGAAGAGCTTGCCGTACATGTACGAAGGATCGCGCCAGTACTGCCTGAACATGCGCTTCGTCAACTCGATTGTTTGGACAGCAACCGGAGCAGCGAACTCGGCAGCGCCCTTGCCATCGTTTTTACCTGGCTCATCAGCGACGGCGCGGCTGCGAGTCTGCTTGAGGCCGTCGATTTCCTCGAGAACAGCTTGCGCCTCAGGACTCCGGGCCCACTCCTCGTTCCAGTCGACTTTTGTGCCATCCTCTCGCTTGTGGGGTCGCGCGGCCGTCTCAAGGATGAACTCGGCGACATTCTTGTTGGGAGGGCAGACGGCGCCGCGGTTAGCAAAGTACTTTGTCACCTCTTGTCCGTTCTCCCCCATGGGGCCGAAGTAGAAGGTGTTACCACCGGGGTTCAAGGCAAGGACCATGTCGAACTGCTCGATAAGGACGCTGCTTGGCTGGTGGATGGTACAGATGATCGCTTGACCAGCATGACTGAGCTTCTTCAGGAAACGAACAATGGAGTAGGCTGACTGGGAGTCAAGACCGGAGGTAGGCTCATCAAGAAAGAGCAGGAGAGCTGGCTTCGCAGCTAGCTCCACACCAATGGTCAACCGCTTGCGCTGTTCGACACCCAGAGAAGCGACAATAGCATCTTCCAGGTCGTTCAACTCAAGCAAGCCGATAATCTTGTCAACATACGCAATCTTCTCCGCGCGAGGAGTGGCAGCGTCTTGGCGAAGCAGCGCGGAGAACTCGATGGCCTCGCGAACAGTCTGCGTGTGGTCGTGGAGGTCGCCTTGGAGGCAAAAGCCCGTGTTACGCTGAAAGTCTGCCCCAAGAGCCTGACCGTCGACGAGCATCTCGCCAGAGACAACACCTATGTTTTGACGCTGCGACAGCGTGTTCAGAAGCGTCGTCTTTCCCGCACCAGAAGCACCCATCAGTGCGACCATGACACCAGGCTTGGCGTACCCGTTGACCTTGTTGAGCAATTTGCGCTGTCCACCCATGTACGGCACAGACAGCTCCAGATCGCGCCACGTGAAGATCGACTTGCTCTCCGTCAGCTGCTCGAGAGCCTCTTCAGAAGCGACACTAGCATTGTCGGCCACAACAGTTGACGCAGAGCTGTTCGAGTTCTCCTCGTCAGCTGGCGCGGCTGCCTTTTGCGCTTGCTTCGCAGACTTGCGAGTCTTCTTGAAAAGCAGAGCGCCACCGCCGCCCTGCGCAAAGTTGATCACCTCAGTCGCAAAGACTGTGATGAGAATGTAAAGCACGGAGAAGGCGATGAGCACGCCGAAATTGCGCCACAGATTGGAGCGGCTGTAGTTGTACTGCGCCTGCAGATAATCAGCACCGGTCACTGATTGACCGTTGACACCAGCGCCGGCAATGGCGCAGCCTTGGTATTGAGGGTCGGCTCCTGGGCCTTGAGGGATCAGTTGGCTGGGCGCGCACTCCATGGTCTTTCCGACAAGCTCGTTGGTCAGCACACCCTCAAAGCTGTAGCTGATGGGGTTCACCCAGTATAGCCAGCCGAACCAAATGTACTTGCCCAAGAGTTGAGTCTTGGGAATGACATAGCCGGTGAAAATGATCAACAGGTTCAACGCAATGCCAGAAAAGCGAACAGCGGTATCGATTTCGGGCGAAAAGCTGGCAAACATGCGGTACAGCGCCGTGACCATCATGGTCGTGGTGAAGATGAAGAGCATGTAGATAAAGAACTTGCCCGCGTCTGCCGACAGACCGGTCATCCAGTACATGATGATGCCGAAGATCATGGTCTGAAACAAGACGACAGGGAAATCCAGAAGAACACGAGCGAGGGACACGGCCGAGGGGCGGTAGAAGGCATAGTCCTCATGGCGCTTGACAATGGCGCGACCAGAGACGGCCTTCATCAGCTCGGAGAGCTGCAGCCAACCCAGGAACAGGATCGAGAAGAAGACAGTACCACCGCGGGTGAACGCACCCTCGGTGTTCGAGGGCTGGCCGTAGAAGAGGGATCCGACAATGAGACCGTTGGATATGATGATGAAGAGCTTGGTCCAAAGTGTGGCCGTATCAGCGAGGAGAAGCCATCCTTCGCGCTTGGTGCAAGCCATAACCTGCTTGTAAAAGGGCACGGTGTATGGCGATTTCTCGGACACGTGCTTAGACTTGGACTCTTGCACGGCACCTTCGAAATCCTTGGTGTGCTGAAAGTCCGAATCATGCAGGCTTCGCTTGTACGATTCGAGATCTTCGAGCATCTCCTGGTAGTTGGGCGACTCGCGGAAGGCTCTTTCCAGCTCCTCGGCTGTCTTGGGCGCAGATTTCTCGAATCCAGGCCGGAAGCGACGCTCGTTGGGATCCGTGACAGCGGTCAAGAAGTCGGCGGTCGTCTGACGTTCGGGGCACTCGAAGCCAAGGTCGATGAAGTACTGCTTCGCTTTGCTGGCGGGGCCCGAGAAGATTTGGCGGCCGTCGTCAATGACCAACACCTTGTCCATGGTCTCGTAGATGCCCTCACCCGCCTGGTACAGGGTCACGAGCGTCGTTCGGTTGCTCACATCGGTCATGATACGCAGTGACCTGGCGTAATCGAGCGCGGTCGACGCGTCGAGGCCTCGGGTTGAGTTATCCCAAGCAATGACGGCCGCTTTGGATGCAAGAGTCTCGGCAATGGAAACACGTTTCCTCTCACCACCCGAGACACCGCGCGTGTATTCATCGCCGACTTGGGTATACTTGGTGTGGCTGATGCCAAACATCTTCATGAGGGCATTGGCGATGACCGGAATATCCTCCTTGACCGCCTTCTTGCTCTTGTTCATGAGGGCAAAAGTCAGAGTCCGCCACACGCTGAGGGTCGCAAAGTGAATGTCGTCTTCATCGTTGTAGACGACCTCACCTCGGTACAGCTTCTTCTGCTTTTGGGCGTCGATGCCGCCGTAGGAGACATTGCCCCCCACCGAGGCGTATGACTCGCGATTGTTGCTGACTGTCTTCAGAAAGGTACTGCAGCCAGAGCCAGGCCGGCCGAGGACGAGCATCATCTCGCCGTCACGGACGCAGCCGGTGAAATCGTGGATCAGAGTACGCGTCTGCATGCCCTTGGGACGGAGGAAGGGGACGAACCTGGCCAACAGCTTGTACAGGTCGGGTCCAAATGTGCCTATGATGGCGTCCGGCACTGTTCGCACGAAAGTGGCCTTGCTACCAGTGCCCTTGACTGTCAGATTCTCAAACATGAGGCCGACCTTTTTCATGGAGCCAGCCTCGTCTGTCCGCTTCTCGAAGTACCCCTCGCGCATGAACGCGCCGAGCTCGAAATCGGCGTCATCTTCGTCGTTGTCGTCATCGCCAGCGTTGCCCTCCTCGTCGCGTTCGTCCTTCTCGGAAACGTGGCGGCCAGCTTCGACATCAGGTTCGCGCATTGACCTCCGCGATTGATCCGCTCTCGATGGGACAGCGCTCGATCTGCTTCTCGTTGCTGTGAGAGGCCGACTATGTTGTGATCCGCCAGTCCTGCTCTTGTGTAGTTGCATGAGATTGTGCCGGAGAGCCTCATATTCGTGGAGTGCTTCATCTTCGGTCACGTCTTCCACTCGACGCTCCCCCCACGTCCCTTCACCACCATCGGCTACATATCGCTCGTCTTCGGGTTGCGGCTGGTGCGTTTGCATGGACGATTCAGCCCTTCGAAGGGCATCGCCATCGACACCACTCCCCCACATAGTGAAAATATGTCAAGGTCTCAAAAGATTGATGGCACTTGTTCTGTCGAATGAATTTGATGTGCTGGAAAGGAAAGAAGAGAACAAATTCAAAGGTGACGAAGTTCTAGGAAGAAACGCAGAGGACTGCCAAACCTCACTGAGCAAGACGACAAACAAGGTGCTGCCGAGCAATTGACTATTATACACTGGCGCGGGAGGGAGAAATTGCACCTGGATTTGGAACCCGCCTTTCTGGCGACCGTACGGAGTATCAACGAGCATCATTAATAATGTTCGTTAACTCCGCCGGAGTGACGGTCGACATGGACACGGATGGTGACTTCATCTCGGGCGCCCTCAGAGTTTAGCGCAAGGCACGCAATGCAAAGTGGAGGAGGTTGTATACTTCTGTATGCATCTCGCTGACGGTATGGAGTACCGAGTGAGCTAGCTCCACCCTCGAACAAAGCAACGAGTCAACCGGGGGACACTGATGCAGTGAGGATTGAGTCGTTTCTTGCGTCATCCATGAAATTTTCAAGGCGACCCTTTTTTTTAGTTTTCACTACGTAGCGCGCCACGGCCTTGCCGGCTGATTGGCTTCTTATCGCTGGATCGCCGCTACTTTAGCGCGCCATGTCAAACTTCTCCGTAAGTCACACGAAGACACGATCCAGGACCAGCAAAGTCTCCCCTTTTCGGGGTCTTGTAACCGAACCCCAAGTTCGCGTTGGGACTGGGACGCACGAGGCGGCAGTCAGCAAGCGAGTGGCCCGGTCTTAAGCCAGCAGATTCACCATCACAAGACTTGAGCAATGGAGAGGGCCGAAACTTGCAGCAGTGGTGGTATAGGAGATAACGCAAACGCCGAAAGATCAAGGAGGAATGCGTCGGGGACGCATGCAGGTGGCTGACGCGGATCGCGGATCCGTTGACTCCTGGCCGGCGGGACGTAGCGGTGCCGCTGCTCTTGATTCTTAATAATCAATTCTTCGTGGGCTACGTACGTATCAGGATGATTCGATAATGGGTCAGGATGGCGACAGTACGGAGACCTAATCAAGCCGTCGTTATCACGGTCCCCACATCGACGGCCCTTGGATTAGTCAATCGGTGGAATTCGAGACCGTCTGACCAGCACAGACAGATACAGGGTAGTCACCTCCGGAGTATGGAGTCTGGAGTCCGGACTCCGGAGTATGAACAATCATTCAACACGTCTCGTTGCGCGTCGTCCAAGGAGTCTTCAATTCCCTCGGACGCTTTTGGCGACAGCCTCGACCGAATATGTCCACCGCACCTCTTTCAATTGTTGATCGTGTACGTCTTGGTCACGACGATGCCCTGGCCACGGTGTCCGTTGCCTTCGGACGGTTGACGCCCACGATGGGCTGAAAGCCCTTGTGGCTGCTGATGCCGGGCTTCATGTCGATATGCCTCCCCCAAAATCTCTTCATCCGAGGTGTTCGCTACCGTGTCGCTCGATCCGCCTCGTCCAACCGTCGTCTGGTTGGCCCCGCTCTTGATGCCCAATTTGACATCAAAGCTCTTGTTGTGGCTGCTGCCCTTGCTCTTGTTCATGTTCGCCGGCAAGACCTGCCCATCCTTGCCAATGTAGCCGCCGCCAATGGTTCGAAGTGCGACACTCGACGAGCCTTCCTGGTCGCCAGACTGTTTCTGATAGCCTGACGACGACTGCTCATTGTTCAGGCGGCGCCACACGCGCCTATACAGTGGCATGCAGACGGGGATACCGATGCAGATGAGTGTAACAGCCATTTCAACCGCCGACCAGACGATCAGGCCGACGCTGTCGTACAGATAGTTGGGCGTATACAGCCCCTCCACGGTCGTCGTTCGCTTGATGCCGGCGGCAGCGGCTCTGTGCCAGGGTCAGCCTCGAAGCGAAACATGAAAAAGGGGAAGAGTTGGTGGTGGCCGCTTACACTAGACCCAGACTTAAACTCAACGCAATCGTGTACTTCTCGCGTCTCGGCATCTGAAGGTCCCAGACGACCGGCCATGGCAACAGGGCAAAGTACGCATCGACGAGGATGGTGGTGACTTGTTCATCGGGTCAGCTGGGAAGCTTTGCAGACGAACGTGTAGTGATGCCTTACCGCAGAGGATGTATGATGTCGGCCTCGTGTCAATGGGACAATGCCCCCCTGGAATTCGCTTGTCGTACACAAACGCCAAAGGGACGCAGGAGAGCCAGAAGCAAAGCAACTGGGCTAGAGAGCAGAGTGTCAGTCAACGACATCTTCCACTGTTCAGGGGGCCGCAGGCCTCTCTCTCGGCTCGGATCACTTCCCAATGGCGGCAGCTACGCACACTCCCATGGCCACGTAGACGGAGATTCTGTGCCATTGGAGCGACACAAGACGCAATAAAAACACGCCAAGCGATGCTTTCGCGATGGACATGCCGATAATGGCAAACCCTTGCCCGATGCATTCGTACAGCGTCGCTTTGGTCACTCGAGCCATGTCATGCTGCAGATACTCGATCTGAACGCCAAAGCCAATTTGCGCCGAGAGTTGTACGAATATGATGAATATTAGGAGGAACACCTGCATCGACAAGTCAGTCAGTGCTGCCCTAGGCGTCTTGTCCATCGGAGGTATCGTACAAAGGCGACGACATAGATGTGATCGTCGAGTCCGTATGATGAAAGGCAGACCACGCGCGTGTAGATTCGCAAGAGGAGGAATAGGAAAACGAAGGCTGTAAACGTCCACATAACAGCCATCGCCCAATGCGCTTCGCCTCCCATCCCCAAGGGGGCGGGCTCTGGAGTAGCCATGTTGGTCCAAAACCAGCAAAGCTACGGAATGGAGTCGGCCAAAGAAGAGTCTCGGGGTGTTGAAAGGAACCCGAAGACTTGGTGGGCTTGTTTTGGACACTCGAGGGACCGAAGATTGGGCGCGTGTTCAGTTGCAATGACGGCAGTTGTCATGAGGGCATACACGATGTCGCTCGAAGGTCTGGTCTATGTCGCGCAGAGCTGACCTATAATAGGAGAGATCAAACTGCAAAGTGACAATTTAATAACGTTACTTTACAGAGCGGATGATCGACAGGTGGCTTCCCAAGACGTGGGCGCGGTGCTCTGTCACTGCCGCGAGCCGCAGGTGCCAGTCTCGCCTCTTCGACCGGGCCCAACAGGGGAGTGAATCCCGCAGTTGCTTGGGTATTTAGTTGCCTGGCACTCGGAGCGGCGTACAAAGAGACATGTCACAACGGCTCCCCGACATTTATGACAATTTACAGTCTCCCGCCCCTGGAAACGGGGAGCAATTCCCAGCTCCGCCAACCTGGGACCTGATTTGCCTGGCTACGCTCCGTCTGACAGCAAGGTCCACCGCGGTGACCACTGACAGGCTTGGTTGAAGCTAGTCTTTTGCATCCGAGAATGTGTTGCTCCAGTCGCGAGCCTCAGAGAGAGACGTGAAGGCGCAGGACTGCCCTAAACACCGCGCGGTGTTTGGTACCTGGGGAAACCAAAAGCCAGCACTTCGATACTCCTTAATCAGCCGAGACAAGAGGCCATTTACTCCAGGAAAGGACCCAGTTCAAGAAGTTTCAGATGGGTCGCGCTTACGCAGCCTCGGGTTCGACCCGCAATCTCGTTCTGTCCTCAGGGCCCGCCAATTAATAAGTAAGTATTATTATTGAAGTCAGTCTGGAGATGGTAGGTCCTGAGAACAACACGATGGCATCTTGCTCCTTGCAGTTGCCAAAGGCCGCTGTGAAGATTATATTCCAAGAGTCCCTCAGACACCGCCTACATGTACGCAGCTCGGCTTTCTCTCCCTTCCTCGCACTCAGAACTAGGAATGGATATATTCTCGCGCTCAAATCTCCCACGACGGTTCAGAGTGACTGGTCACTTCTCAACCACAGTTGCTCTGCAGAAAGCGGAGTCTCCAGCGGAGGAGTCGAGGACTGTACCTGTGCCGTGCGGCGAGGTTTATTAGGTCAACAGTCGGCTATCGCGTGGTGTGGATTGTGGTCTGTGGAGCCATGATCATGTCGAGGAACAAACTTACAGTCTTACAGACAACTTGAAAACAACCGCTGACCGCAGTTCGTGGTCCGGGGCGAGAGCCGGCCCATGGACCACGGTCCATTATCTTTCGACAGCGGTACGGCGCGGCCGCCGGCGGCATTCCCGTAGATAATTAATTCTAAGCTTGTTCAGCAAGGACCAGGTCCCCTACGCCCGGGACCAATCCAATGAATAGACTTCTCTCAGGCCCCAGAAAACATGCTCGATCCCTGTTGTGGGCCTGTGCCCTTGGTCGATAAGCACTAATTATCCTAGCATGTCTGCACCTTTACATTCCTTCAACGGTGGTTGGCTCGTGAACCTGGAGTACGTACGTACCAGGGTTCGAGGGTCCCTGGGCAACATGACAAATATTCAGGCAGGGTTCCTGGAAATGATCAGCTCTGGCAATGCTTAGTTCTTCCTCTGCGAGACAAGAACTGTTGCAACTTCCAGTCTTCATGCAAGTGGTCAGCACAACAGAGGCGATGCCGACTGCTTGAGCAACGAGATCTTACGTATCTGCTTGGAAGATACCTCGTTGCTGTTGAGCTATTCGACACATTGTCGACTCGCTTGCAATGAGCAGAGTCCACCCTGAGCGTTACATGCACGCCAAGGAGAGTTACATAAGTTAACCAGCGAGCTGCATGATGAGGGGTTCTATGTAGCAGGCAGGGGGGAAATATGTGTCCCTCCAAGGGGAGGCGTTCTGCATCTGGCTTGCGTGGTATGCAGGATGGCCTCGAGGTCTTTGAGCCACAGTCTCTCTGGAGTTTGTTATCTTCACGTGGGAGCTTTGGGAAACTTTTCTTCTCCAGCCTTCACCCTGGACGCCAATCCGGTGGAACAGTCATATTGTTTCCTCAACCCGTGGCACGCCTGCAAGTAAGGCTCTATCCTCGTCTCGGCCGTTACAATGAGCTCCGTTGCGTCGAGCGGCTTCGCGACAGCGACGCCAGAGTCCTGGTACGATGACTGGCAGCCCATCCTCAACGACACAAGATTCCAGCTGGCGAGCGCTGTAGTCTTGGCGCCTGCCGTTGCTGTTCTCCTCTGGTTCATCGTCGCCTACCAGACTTCGCCCTTGAAGAAGTACCCGGGCCCATTTCTGGCTGGTGAGTAGCAGCACATCACGCGCATCTGACAAGGTTGGCACTGATCCAAGGGAACCAGGATTCACCAATCTCTGGCGACTGCGTCAGGCCATCTCGGCCGATTATGCTCCTCGCATGAAGAGACTCCACGAGAAGCACGGTCCTGTTGTCCGCATCGGCCCCAACCTGCTCGACATTGACTACCCCGAGCTGTCCCGCACCGTCTACAACACGGATGGAAAATGGAAGAAGACAGACTTCTACAAGAACAGCAGCTCCATCATCAATGGAAAGATTACGTATCACATGTTTAGCGAGGTCGACCAGGTCGAGCATGCCCGTCTCAAGCGTCCCGTCGTCCGTCACTACTCGGTGCCGAGCGTGCGGGCCATGGAGCCTCACATGGACGCCGTGATCCAAGAATTCATCGACCATCTTCAGGCACGCTTCGTCGACACACGCGCCGAGTGCCCGCTCGGAGAATGGCTTGCCTACTGTGCGTTTTGCCATGCCCCGTTGAAAGGCGAGAATATCTGCTGACCGCCCTAACTAGATGCCTGGGACTTTCTCGGCGCTGTCACCTTTAGCCAAAAGTTTGGATATATGGAGGCCGGCAAGGATTTTGACGGCACCCTCAGCGTGGCCGATCAGTCCATTGACTATCTCGGCATGTGTGGGCAGATGCCGTGGCTCGACCACGTCCTCGACAAGAACCCCGTGTACCCCCTCGGTCCTCCAAACATCTCCAACGTCACGCGCATTGCCGTGGAGAACATGACGGCTCGTCTCAAGGGCGAGGACAAGAACTTTGCCGAGGAGAAGCCCGACTTTCTGCAGTACTTTATTGAGTCCAAGGATACCCACCCCGACGTTGTCAATGAGGGCACCATCATTGGATACCTCTTGCTGAACTGTAAGATGATCTCCCAGTGGCCCCTATGGGACGTACCCTGACAAACTTGCAGTAATCGCTGGAGCCGACACGACAGCCATCACCCTCAAGGCCCTGTTCTACTACTGCCTCAAGGATCAGCAGGTCTACAACAAGCTGCAGGACGAGGTGCGCGCTCGCTTCGAACCGAACAAGCCCGTCCCCATGTCCGAAGCCCGACAATGTCTCTATCTCGAGGCGGTTGTCAACGAAACGTTGCGTTTCCACCCTCCCGTATCCATGTGCATGGAGCGCATCGTGCCCGAGGGGGGTCTCGCCCTCCCCGACGGCTCAGTCGTCCCAGAGGGCTCGTGCGTTGGCATGAACCCGTACATTGTCGGACGCAACAAGGGCATGTTCGGGCAGGACGCGGACACCTTCCGCCCGGACCGCTGGCTGCAGCAGGACGGCGAGACGGAGGAGCAGCACAAGGAGAGGATGCAGCGCTGGGGCACGGCGCAGCTGCAGTTTGGCGGCGGGTCGAGGATTTGCCTGGGTCGGAACATGAGCATCATGGAGGTCTACAAGGTTGTGCCCACGCTGCTCGCCACGTTTGACATTGCCCTTACCGACCCCAACGAGGTCTGGTGGACGAGCTCGCGGTGGTTCTACCGCACAAAGGGCATCAAGACTACCATCAGGCCGCGAAAGTGAAGGCAAGAGGGTGGCTGGGAACGAGGCCAAGGGCGTCCAGGATATATGAATGGCATATGGAGATGACAATATGGACAGGCAGCTGTGAAGCACGTTCTTCAGATCACGGTGAATCTTTGCTTCCATTGCCAGGCCAAGCCAAGTCGCAGCTCTACCAAATATCCCCAAACTAGAACTTCTCCGCATAAGGCCTAATATCCAGTTCCTGCGTGAACGCCGAACGATGCTGCACGTGCAGCTGCCAGTACGTCTCGGCAATCTAACAAGTTTCGCCCGGCATCAGTGATCAAGCTCTGCCACTCGAGGGTTGTGAGAACGTACCGCTTCAGGACGAATCTTGCCGTCTTCGACCCCGTTGTTGACCGTGATGTGGTCGAGACGGGGAATGTCAATGAGCCCGTCAATGATGGCGTGGGCGACGTGCACGCCCTGCGGAGCAAACTCGCGCGCGAGGGACTGTCCCAGACCGCGGAGGGCGAACTTGCCGGCGGCAAAGGCGCCGAACTGCGCAGAGCCCTTGAGCGAGGCGGTGGCGCCGGTGATGAGCAGCGTCGGGGGCTGCGGCGCGTCTGGGACGGACGTGAGCAGGAGGGGGAGTGTCTCCTGGGCGAAGTTGAAGAAGGCCTTGCTGTTGCGTGTGTCAGTCAGTCAGACTCGGGGCTCGCGTGCCGATGAGGGGAGGAGGGAGTTGTTCATCACATACACGGTCCCGTCAAAGGCGCCGTCAAAGTCCTGGGCAGTCAGCTCGAGAAAGGGCTTCTTGGCGAATCCCCCGTTGACGTTGTAGAGGGCTGCTGCCAGCTTGCTGCCAGGGAGTTTCTGGTCAATGGTCTGGAAGGCCTGGCGGAGGGACTGGGCGTCGCTGACGTCGGTGGTGATGCCCACGGCCTGGCCGCCCTTGTGCTCAATCTCCTTGACAATGTCCTCGTAGGAGCTGGGGTTTCGCGCAAAGAGAACGACCGGATAGGCCTGCGCGAAGCGAAGAGCGGTGGCTCGGCCTGGGTGGTCAGTTTACGTGGACTGATGATGATTGAGAGTGCAGGGTAGGTCGAGTTCAGAGGGAGGGAGAGGTATCACCTGTTCCGGCGCCTGTGCCTGCGATGAGGGCGTAGAACTTGGACATATTCGTGGTCAGGGTGTGGAACAGAGTGGGTGGTGTTTGATGGCTTTGTTAATAGAAGAATAGCTGGCCTGATGGTGCTTATGTAGGTAGATGAGTGACGCAGTTTATTTGATGATGGGTTACTACCAAGTATTCTCGGCTCGCTCGCTTTCCAGCATTGCCGACGCTTATTAATGCTAATCGTGTGTAGTGATGATGAAGATGCATGTAAGTGTCATCTTTATCAGCTCTTTCAAACATGAATTATAACGACGAGAATCAATTTGTAAATATCCTTAGGTCTCACCTTCAATGATTCGCCTCTTTGGCTTCGATGGTGTTCAACAGGGCTGGATCTGACAGTGACACTACCTCAGAAGTGTCCAGGGACGCGCCCAGAATTCAATTCCAGAAGACTGATGGGTTTATTAACAGCGGAATGCGCGTGAATGGCTTTTCTATCTCCATATAAGTCACTTGCTACAACTTTGAGGCCGCCTCCTTGAGCTGCTCGACCTTGCCCTCCAAGTCAGCGCCAGTCGCCCGCTCGAGAACCACGACAAAAGCCCGCCTTCTCTTCTCGTCGACATCTTTGCCCGCCAGCTTCGCATAGTCCATCTGATCCAAGTGGCTATCAATGACCTGTTGTAAGTCATCCTCTCCCGAGGGAAGCCCGATGCGCTGCAATGCGGCCGAGCTCCTGCTATCGATGAATGGATATGCCGCCGGCCACAGCCACTGAACTCGCCTTCTGAAAATGTTCCCTCCCGTGGGACCAAATCCCTTGACCTTGCCGATGAGGTCTTTCAGCGCTGCATCCGGGTTATCGCTCTCCAGCACTTTGGCAAGGCGCTCGCCCTCCTTGTCGTCCTCGTCGGCAAAGTACTCCAGCACGAGATCACCAAGGTAGCTCAACTGATCAGCCGTCTTGGCCTTGTGCTGCGTCCGCGCGTCCCAGAGGGCCTTGTGGACCTTGTCCAGGCCAGCGTCTTGTATGGCCCTGGCATTGTTGAATTCATAGGGCGCATTGAAGATGGTCCGCAGCGTGCGGAGGCCCAGCATGTGCGAGATGGGGCGGGACAGGACCACGGCGCTGACCAGCTCCTGGAAGGGGTTCAGTACGCTGGAAGTGTACGTGACGGCGCTCTTGTCGTCGCCCCGTGACGCGAGGTCGCGCGCCTCGTCCGCTGGGCGACAGAGCTCGATGGCATCGTCGGATAGCATGTACCGGAGCAGCTGTGACTGGGAGGGCTCTGCTGCGGGTGCGGTGCGCGCTGACTTGCGTGATCCTTGGCGCGGCTCCTTTTCTGGGGGTTGTTTCCGCTTCTTGGAGCCTTTCTGATACTCCTGCTCGACGTCTTGTCCAGATTTCATGGTGCTGACGTCTCGCGCCTTGGATTTGGTCTTGCCATTGACTTTTTCGCCATTGGGAGCCGCGCTCTTCTTAGTCTTTGTGGGTGCCATTTCATAAGTACAGTTACAGAGAGATGGACACGGTACATGTGATCAAGGGCGAGGATCAATTGACTGTTGTGACGAAGACCAGGCGTGGTGATTATCCATTTCGTCATCGATCCTCATCGCGTGGCTAGACGCCATGTTTCACATGTCGCGTGTCGATAGGGGAGGGACTAGTCTCACTTGGTGCGTTGTCAGTGCCCAGAGGTCTAGCAACATTGTTTGGTTGGGTGATCTCGTTGTGCCGGCAATTGGGGGATCTGGAAGTGAGTCTCGTGAAGACGTGAGATGCCGGCCTCAGGGCCTCAGGGTAAGCATTTCACCGCCCGATACCGGGACCGGCCAAAGGTGGCACGATGCGGCTTTCCGGACGGCAGATTAGACGCCGACAATCAATTTCTAATCCAGCCAGTCCTTTCTGTTATCATCCATCTTCATGTCGTGCGACGACTGGAGCCACATGCACTCACTCGCACGACCAGACCATGACGACTACCAGTGAGAGGACGCCGCTGCTGGCTCGGGTGAGCTCTGGCGACAAGGCCAGCAGCAAGACGAAGACGCTGGCATCGTGGCTGTTCTGCGAGGAGCATCGCATCTTGTTCGCCGGGTTCTTGATCACCTTTGCCTTTAGTGTTACCCAGGTCCCGTGAGTGCAGTTCGAATTGGACGTCTGCGTCCTGTTTGTTTCCATCCATGTGATCTAAGACCGTTTCTCTAGAATATTCTATGCCTTCCACATCATGGTGTGCGATGTCTACTTTGACAGCCACCCACCGTACCACGGCCACGGCGACAGATGCAGCATCAACCCCGTGACGGCCACCACATCATGGCAGTATAGCATCATGGGCATGAGCACGACCTTTTGCGGTAGGCGTCTTTCATGTTTACACCACGCGCCACAGCAGCCATGCTGACTAGACAGGCGTCCTGAATCTGTTCATCGCGGGGTGGACGGTCAAGAAGATTGGCCCCAGGGCGGCCCTGCTGATCCAGACGTGCGTCCCCGTCATCCGCCTCGTGGTCCAGATCACCGGCCTCACCATCGGCAAGGAGCTGGGCATGCTGATGATGCAGCTGAGCCAGAGCATCACCATTGTCGGCGGGCCGGTGGGCTACGTGCTCATCATCAACATCATCGTGGGTGAGGTGGTCGAGCCCATCCGGCGCACGGCTGTCTTTGGCCAACTGCAGGGCTGTCTGATGCTCGGAAACGGCGTCGGAGTACTGCGTAAGTAATCAGTGGTCGATCCATATCAGACGTCCTTGGCTGACGAGTGTCGTACAGTCGGTGGCGTGGTGGGCGACGCCATTGAGATCCGTGCCCCGTTCTGCATCGCCTTTGTGTCGTTTCTCCTCGCCTCGACGTTTGCCCGGTTCACGCTGCCCTACATCTCTGTCGAGTCCATGTCGGACGGCAAGCAGCGCGCCAACGCCGGCCTGCTCGCCCCTCTCCGGGTCCTCAAGCCCCAGGGGCTGCGCCTTCCGAGCGGCGCGAAGAGGAAGCACTATGGTGTCATCTTCCTCTGCACAGGCATCTTTGTCGGCGTGGTACGTCTTCTCTCTTCATGAAACCGGCCATCTCCAAGTGTCCATGCTCACAACAATCCAGATTGCCACAGACTACGCCCCCTTTCTCATCCAGATGTACGCCACAGCCATGTTCGACTTTACCCAGGCCGACAATGGCCCTCTCATGGCAGGCTTCTCGTTCATGAGGAGCTTCTTCCTCATCTTCATCTTCCCCCGCATCATCACGTTTGGACGTGACGTGTGGGCCGGGCGCGCCAACAAGGGCCCTGCGCGGGAGCCGAGCGAGGCAGACGAGATTCCCACGTCTCCTGGACAGATGGACGCCCCGACGGCGGCGGCTGAGCAGGCAGATGTCATTCATCCGACTGATCCCGCTGCACCGAGGGAGACGTGGAGCGGATACCACTTTGACCTCTTCTTCTTGCGGGGGAGTCTCCTCGTGGATGGGCTGCTCACCACGCTTACCGCCTTTGCGACCGAGTGGTGGCACATTTACCTTGGTACGTCTTCTTGTCCTTGATTTGCATACTTTCGTTACTGAAACTTTCTAAGCGGCCTTCCTTCTGCCATTCGGCTCTGGCACGGCCCCAGCTGCCAAAGGCGTCATCACGCAAATGTGTCCCGAGTCGCAGCGCGCAGACGCGCTCAACGCTGTCACGCTCATCGAGAACATTGCGCGGATGGTGACGCAGGGCCTGTTTGGGTTCATCTTTGCGAGCCTGGCGACGATCGGCAAGGCGTACACGACCTTCTTCGTCAACGCGGCCATTGCCATTGTCGGGCTGCTGGTGCTGCTGCTGTCGCACTTCCCGCCGGCTGGGAGTGAGCTCGTCGACGAGGCCAGCGAGGAGGACGAGGGGGGCGAGGAGGATGAGCGGGCGCCCCTCGCACGGACATGAGAAAGGGCTGCTAGTATTACCCGGTTATAGAGCGCTCGGATGCAGTTGCATTGGATATCGGATAGACCACCAACGTCACTCAAAAAAGACAGACACGTGCCCCCGTTGAGCGAAAGCCGCCCGCCTTGCAAGACGCCCAGCAGGATCCAGCTCACGGACGATCAAGGCAGAACTTGCTGCCCCCATCCAATCCCCATGGTCCCTCATCCTCCTTGCACTGCATTGTGGTGTCCTATTTGAGCATAGTCCGGGCGGCGTCTGGGCGCCCAGCTCAGCTCAGCCGCACTGCCCTGCCCTACCCTGTCTGTCATTCGATCGCCAAGAGCCGAACAGCGTACATCAGGCTTGCATTGCCCATCACTAGACCGTCGGGGAATTACTAGACTACCATCACCAACATCCTCATTCTTCGCGCGCTTTCCGAGTCGCGACCGGACCATGGACCTCGAGAATCCCCCGCCACCGTACGAGGAGGCAGAGAGTGGGAGACCGCCCGCGTACGGCACACATCATGGTGATCAGGATGTCTCGCCCCCTTCTCGAAATACTGGCTTCCGCTTTCAAGGGTTCACCTTCTCGCCCCGCAACACGGCACCGGAGCCAGACCGCGCCAGACCACCAGAGATACCGCCTCATGCCAACTTGATCGCGGCGGACGATGCTGCAGGCCATCGCTACCCACCGCCTCGTGAGCCACGAGCACCGTCCCCCAGTGCGCCATGGTGGAATCGGGGCCCCGAAGGCGACGACCAGCACACGGGAGCGTGGCATCAGCTCAAGACTTACCCGCGATGGCTGCGCATCAACTTCAAAATCACCCGGTGGACAATCTTCCTCATCATCCTCCCGGCCGTCTGCATCGCCAAGTTCGCCTCGATAGTCCGGGACGACCTATCCGACGAGTGCGTCTTCCCTGTCTTTATTTGTCCGCCCACGCTGGCGACCGTCTGCTGATCATAGGAAATAATAGCCCGTACGACTGGAACTGCGAGAACCATTACTTTGCCAACGCCTCCGAGCCGTGGGACGCGTCCCTCTACAACCCCCCGCCCGGCTCCGGGCGGTATCACAGCCAATGCCGTGGTCTCTATGCCTGGGCGCAGCTCACCCTCGCCGTGGGCATCCTCTCGTGTCTGCGGGCCCTCTACCAAATTCTCAAGACGGGCATCTTTGACAGCTACACAGACTCTACGAAAAGGTGTGTTTTGCCCCCCCCCCCCCCTCCTCCCCCATCACTTCGAGGACTCTTTTGGCCAACGGACTGACGCCCCGTGTAGGTCAGCAGAGCATGGAAACAAGCTGCGGCGTGCAACAGCAGACGCCATGGAGCTCGTCGGCGCGTTCGCCTCGGCCGTCGCGGCGGTGCTCTACCTCGTCAGCGCCGTGCTCCTCGGCACGAGCAGGCTCTTCACTGGTCCGCGTACCGAGGGCGAGTGGTACAAGCCCCTGTACGTGGCCTGCCTGTCACTCGTCTGTCTCAATTGCGTCGCTTCCACGCACCAGGCCGTCATCCTGACACTGGCCGGCTACGTGCGCAGGAGAAGGAGGCGTTGGGCGGCGCACACAGCACTCGACGTGCAGCAGCAGCAGCGGTATCAGATCTCATATATTTCATGACAATAGAGCAAAATGCCCTCTAGACGCCCGCATCTAAGCTACATCAATGTGACGACTGCCCCTGAATAATACAATGGGCCGCGCACACGCTTATATTCAACGTGCCAATGCCTCCAAGTGATATCGCCTCTGGTCGTGGGTATAATCAAAAAGACAGAGTGAAAGAAGTGGCGGCAGTCACGGCCAAACAAAAGAAGAAGAAGGCAAAACGTCAGCCTAGACACCCCTGAACATGCGAACAATGAGGAACCACAACGCGCCGATGAACTTGAACGCGCTCAGGGCAGCGACAGACCACAGCACAATGGACATGTAGATGTTGGACCGCTCAGTCTCCTGGTCGGCGGCATCCTTGCCGGGCGTGATCTTGTCCAGGCCACCGGCGCTGAGGACGACGGCGGCGAGCGCAAAGTTGGTGATCATCCAGATCAGCACGACGCCCGTGCGCACACCACGGTAGTAGTCCATCTGCTTCTCCTGCAGCTGGGCGGCCGTGGGCGGCGCCTTGACCTCCTTGTGCTTCTGCGCAAAGAGCGCAATCTCCCGCTGGTACTGCGCGTTGAGATCGCCCTCGTCGGGGAGGTCCGTCTTGCCCTGGCCATCCTTGGTGTTGACCGACGGCAGCTTCTCCACCTTGTCGTCGCCCTTGGTGCCCCACGAGACGTCGTGCGTGTTGCAAAAGGCGTACACGTTGAGGACATTGGTGTAGGTGGGCGTCAGCAGCATGTACTGCACCAGCGACGTGACCATGTGCCAGGGATCGAACATGAGCAGCGACGCGATGAGCCAGATGCCAAACGTGGACATGACCGACACGATCAGCGTGTAAAAGACCTGGTTCTTGAACAGTTCGTTGATGCTGAAGCCATTGTTGTTGATATCGTCCATGATGGCAATGACGGCAATGTAAATGGCGGCAAACATGAGATAGCTGGCAACAAGTCAGTACAAAGTCTCGTCTTCTAAAACTTCGAGAAACTCACATCATGAGGCCTGCCCAGAACCAGACCATGGCGGTGTACAACCTGCCCGACCCGGCTGGACGATTGCCCATGGACAGTACAAAACAGGTGATGAGCATCACACCATATAACCACGTGAAAACGACGCCGAGGATCTCGCCCGTCCTACCGAGAAGATCATCGGTGCCCAGACTTGTCGTCAAGATCTTGAACACCAGGAAAAAGTTGCCGATGGCGAACCAAGCGAAGATCATGTTGATGGTCTGGAAGATGGTCTCGATGACAAAGGCCAGCTTGCTGAAGAAGGAATGATCGGAGCGGAAGAAGGAGTAGAAGTGGACAATGGAGTAGATCGCCGCAAAGAACGAACCGTTCAGCCAACGACGACGCTGGAGCACCAGCTCCGTCACCGTGTCGGGCACGTCCGTCTCGCCCGTGGCCGATTTCACGTATTGCAGGATCCAGTGGCAGTTGCGCTTCGTGACAAGCTCAAAGCAGAGGATGCGATCCTCGGCCAGGTACATGTTGGACTCGAAAAGACCCGCGGTGCTACCGCCGTGCAGCGTCTCGCCGAGAAAGTACTTTTCCAGGGGGCCTTGGCCGTTCTTGTCGTTCTGCAACGCAACATAGCGGTACGCCGAAAAGGCACCGGGGAGCACGGAAATGAAGCCAAAAGCAGACTCGAACGGCTTGTCGAGAATGTTGCTCATCTTGTACTCAAAGTTCTGCGTCGCCACCAGGGGATTGAGCAGGTTTTTGCCTCCCCTATAGTCCGTCAGCAGGGTATCAAGGTCACGTACAGCGGCAGGATATTACCTTCCCAGCATTGCCTTAATCTCACCGCAGGCGCCGCCGCACATGGGCTCGAGATCAAAGGCTTTCCACAGGTGGTAGATGGAGCTCCCACCTGGACGTGTACCCGCGTCGAGCAGCACGCAGATATTGGGGTCCAGCACGCGGCCAAAGGCCTGGAAGAACCAACGGTGCGAGTTGATCTTCTTTTGGTTCTTCTCCTTGAGGCAGAACAGCATCTGCACGGGCTGTCGACGGTGGACCAGGGAGACGACGTCGTTCTTGAGCGTCAGATGGGTCTGTGTCGTGTACTCGTAAATATGGGCCGTGACGTCCTTGCTGTTGACCTGCTGCTTCGCGATACCCTCCTGGTAGACGCCCATGCCGGACAGCAGCGCACGGGTGCGCGGGTTGATCTTGGCACGGCCGTCGCTGACGACGCAGACCACAATCTTCTTCCATGCATCCTTGCCCCACGTCTTGCTGTTGGGACGGTTGCACATGTACTCAATGTTTTTGAACACGCCAATCATGGTGCGCGCAAAGAGCACGTCGTCCTCGTTGTACATGGTGACGACAATAAACAGCTCCGTGTGGCGGGGCTTGCTGAAGAGGCGCTGGCGCAGGGTGAAGTTCTCGTTGTAAAAGTCGGACGGATCGCACGTGGCGGCCGTGTAGCGCATGTGGGTGAACTCGTCCCGCTCGCCGTGCGGGTTCTGCTGCAGCAGCACGGGGGGCACGGGGCAGTCGAGCACCAGGTTGCCGCGGTAGAGGAGAACCTGCTTGACCGTCTTCCAGCGTTTCAATCCGCCGCCGGGTGCTGGCTGAGGTTGGGCCGGCTCGTCCTGGAAGGCCTCGTTGGTCAGACCAGAGGGCTGGTGCACGAGCATGGGCCGGCGGTCCTCCCACTCGTAGCCCTGGCCGTCCTGCGGCGCAGGGCTTGGTTCGTAGGGTTGCTGGTAGTATCCATCGTGGAGGCCCTCGGGGTTCACGGCGTACTCTTGTGGGTGGTGGCTACGCGCGTCGTATCCGGACAGGTTGTCGGTCGAGTGCTGTACAGGTCAGGCTGCGGCTCTCCCGCGCGGTGCCACAGAGACTCACGGGTGCGTTGAGCGCGAGATGGTCACTCGGCGTCCCCATGCGCGAGTCGATTGGGGTCCCCAGATGGGGCGGCGGCTGCATGGGCATATCGAGGTTCGAGTGGCTGCGACCGTACGGGTTCTCGTCCAGCTGGTAGCCAGGCTGGATGGGGTGCTGAGGCGACGGGGAGCGATAGGGATCGCCTCGACCGCCTCGACGATCCATGGGATCGCCGTAGTAATCGTCGTCTGTGAGAGCAGCGAATTAGCTTTGCGGTTTAGGTTTACGAAGCCGCTGGCGATGGCGATCAAGTGGATAGATAGCGCGGTGTTTGCAGGCTTGGAGCTTCCGTGTTTCTGACAGAGCTCGACAAGGCGCGAGCAACGAGATGGATACGTAGTATGCGTTCGTTGTACACGGGGCACCGGTCAAGCGCCAGTCGTTTCAGCTGGTGATGGATGGAGGGGCCGCGACAAACGCAAGCAAGTCGCAGATTCCCCAGGGAAAGGCGAGGTCGGGCGTGAACTTACCCAAGCGATTATAAGACATCTTGTTTGCGCGCGCTCATGCCCTGTCCACGCTCTGGATTGTTGGCGACGTCGTCGTTGTCCGAGGCAGGGCGTTGTTGTTGACCAGTGTTTTCGCAAATGGAGGAGGCAGCCCAGCTCCGGGGGAAGGGTTTGCTATGCGCTCGCTCGCGTGTTGATGCCGGCACCCGTGGTTGGTGCAACTTTGTCGTCGAGGGCAACGCTCCCAGGGACTGGAGAGTTGAATGAGCTGTGGTACGTGTACGCACGCGACGATTGTGCAATGAACGTCGAGGGGAAACGACTGGAGTGTCCAAGCTGTCGAGATGGGGAAGCGTCGTTTCACCCAGGGCTCCATGTCCCAGGAAATGCCATCAGGAGGCTGTACGCGGTAGTTTCAGCGCCTGTGGCTGGTTGCCAGGTCTGCGGGTCCAGTCCAGTCAGCAGTGAGATCGCTAGTGCTAGTGTCTTGGCTGTCAATGTCTTTATGAAGGGCGGTGCCAATATCGAGCAGCCTACAAGCAGTACAAGGCCTGAATACTACAGAATACGGAGTACTATCGAATGGTTTGCACCTTTACATTGCCATCATTCATGTTACTAAACTACAGGTGGCTAGATTCTGCTCACCGTTGGTAGCGACTTTGTCGAGTGAGTGCAGTGCAGTAGAAGGTGGGTCTCTCGCGAGGCAGAATCACCTACCGCCAGCGCCAGCCAAGCCAAGACCCTGCCCCCAAGACTTGGTGACGTCGGCCCAAATTACGCCGCGAGGCCTCAGTGGAGGGCATTCGAGAATAGGGGTTCAGAAAGGGGGGTTTGGAATCCCATTTGACAAGGATCGTCGCGGGCGAAGAGGCCTCTCACAGACTTCACGATCCAGGTCGACGCTTCATCCTGATAACTTGCAAGTCGCAACAAAGCAAATGTGCATGCAATTCGCTGCCCGTTGGCGCAACAGCTGACAGTATGGTGGGTGCCAAATATAGCATCGACATAGACGCCACACGTGTGCGCCACATAAATGCCATTTCCGTGACAACTCAGCCTCGTTGAATTCGCGTTCCAATGCGGCTCATGCGATCTCAGGTCTGCCAAGCTGCCCTAGCCTCGAGTCTCGGACTCCCGGCTCGCTGTGGACACAATGACGAGTGCGATGGTGCGATGCTCTCTCTCCTGTGTCATCTGCCTGCGAATTGGCATAGGTAGCTGGCATCTGCGCGCCACTGCGAGGATGGACAACGCCTCGACATGACCCCTCGGCAGTAGAGCCTACCCTGCACATCACATGCCGTGAGGGATGCATGATGCTTACCGACAGAATAATGCTGGATACTTGGGAGAGCGTGTTCGAATTATCAATGCTGGAGATGCCAACGTGGTCCAGTATGACGAAACAAAAGTTCAGCAAGAGGGTGACCAACCCATTATTAATAAAGAGCAGGATTGTTGAACTCGATGGAGGACAGTGACCCGGTTCACTCTGCGGGAATAAATGAGCCCGTGCTCGGAAAACATCCTCTTGCTTTCCGAACCGGCATTTCCTGAAGGAGCAAGAAACGGACCCTGCTAGCCACATGTCCAAGGCATGGCGTAGGGTAACTAGCTTGGCTAGATGACCAAGGAGTTCAGAGCTCGCCGCGATTCCTCCTGTTGTACATTCTTGAGTCGTCGCTAAGTGTCTGAAAACCTCGCCGCTATGGTAATCAGGCTACTACCATCAATTGGAGCGTCTCTGTCCTCGACAAGGATGCAGACACGATGCCTGCAGCGGTTGTGAGCCAAGATGGACAGATATCGCGACTCGCGGGGTTGTCAACTTGTCCCCAGCGGGCCCCCACAGTTCTCCTGGTCGCATCGCTTGGCCACTTCTCCTTCTCCCCAAAGGCAGCCGCCCGTCGGGAAAGCAACCCCACCATCCCCTCACTTCTCCTCCACGATGCGTATCTCTAGCTCGAGGCTTGCTGCTTGCGCTCCAACCACAGTGGCGCCACTCGGCACGATGATGCAGCGATGCAGGCTCGCGAGGAGGGCGCCTCACAGGGTCTGATGGACAGGTACGTACAAATACCGCGCCGCGTCCTCCTCGCTGGCCCAAGGAAAGGAACCCCGTCATCCTCGTCTCTCACGCTCTCGCGACTCGAGAACGACACCAGCCAACATGTCCTTCCCCAAGTCCCAGCCCGACTGGAACAACCTCCAGGTGTTGCACCGCAACACGCTCCCGCCCCGCGCACACTTCTTCCACTACACGTCCGAGGAGGTCGCCCGCACCCTCGACCGTGAGAAGAGCACCTACCAGCTGCTCAGCGGCACCTGGAAGTTCCGCCACGATGCCTCACCCTTTGAGGCCCCGGAGTGGTCCGAGGTCGACCCCTTGACCTGGGCCAACATCAAGGTCCCCGGCATGTGGCAGGTACAGGGCTACGGGCGACCACTCTACACCAATGTCAACTACCCCATCCACGTGGATCCGCCCAACGTCCCATACGAGAACGAGACGGGCTCGTATTGGCGCGAGTTCACCGTCCCCAAGGAATGGGATGGCCAGCAGATCCGCCTCCGCTTCGAGGGTGTCGACTCGGCCTTCCACCTCTGGGTCAACGGCCAGGAGGTTGGCTACAGCCAGGGCAGCCGAAACCCCAGCGAGTTCGACATTACATCCTACCTCAGCAAGTCGGGCGCCGGCTCGGTCAACACCATTGCCGTCCGCGTCTACGAGTTCTGCGACGGCACCTACATTGAGCGCCAGGACCAGTGGCTGCTGTCCGGCATCTTCCGCGACGTCTACCTGCTCGCGTTCCCCAAGGACGCCATTGTCGACTTCAACTCCATCCCGGAGCTCGACGACACATTTACAAAGGCCACACTCAAGACCAACGTCAAGATCCAGGGCTCCGAGGGCGATGTCGCACTCAAGCTGTACTCGCCTGACGGCTCGCTCCTCAAGCAAGACACCTTCAAGTCTTCAGCGTCCAGCGCTGTCGTCGTGGACGGTAAGGACCTGAAGCTCTGGTCCGCCGAGGACCCCGTGCTCTATACGGTGACCCTGACCTTTGCCGAGAGGACCATTGCCCAGAGGATCGGTTTCCGCCGCGTCGAGCGCAAGGACCCCAACTTCCTGATCAATGGGCGGCCCATCATCTTCTACGGCATGAATCGCCACGAGCACCACCATCTCTACGGCCGTGCGGTGCCCTACGAGTCCATGCGTGCCGATCTGGTGCTCATGAAGCAGCACAACATCAACGCGCTGCGCTGCGCCCATCAGCCCAACGACCCGCGTCTGTACGAGGTCTGCGATGAGCTCGGTCTCTACGTCATTGCCGAGGCTGATCTGGAGACGCACGGATTCGACCCCGTCGAGCGGTCCAACATCAAGGACCAGCACATGAAGAGCGGCTACGAGATCCAGGAGGAGTCCTACAAGACGGCCAACAAGTGGACGTCGGACAACCCCGAGTGGAAGGAGGCGTATCTCGACCGCGCCATTGAGCTCGTGCAGCGCTTCAAGAACTACCCCAGCGTCGTCTTCTGGTCGCTCGGCAACGAGGCCTTTTACGGGAGCAACCACGCCGCCATGTACAAGTGGATCAAGGAGGCCGACCCCAGCCGCATCGTGCACTACGAGGGCGACAGGGACGCCGTCAGCGCCGACATGTACAGCTGCATGTACTGGAGCATCGAGGGCATGAAGAAGCACATTGCGGAGAAGAACGACCGCCCACTCATCCAGTGCGAGTACGGCCACGCCATGGGCAACGGGCCCGGCGGCCTGCTCGACTACATTGAGGCCTTCCGCACAGAGCCGCTGCTGCAGGGTGGTTTCATCTGGGAATGGTGCAACCACGGCCTGCTCAAGAAGGAGGGCAACCTCGAGTACTACGCGTATGGCGGTGACTTTGGCGACTACCCCAACGACGGGGACTTTGTCATGGACGGCATGACCTGGTCGACCCACAAGGCCAACCCTGGCCTGGTCGAGTACAAAAAGGTCATTGAGCCCGTGACGGTCACCATTGAGGGCAACGACCTGAAGATCAGGAACCACTACGACTTTATCGACCTCAGCCACCTCGAGGCCACCTGGCACATTGTGTCGCCCAACGCGGAGGACAGCAGCCAGGTGCACCCGCTCGAGCTGCCCACCATCAAGGGCGGCGAGACGGGCACGGTCAAGGTGCCGACCCAGGTGTCCACGGAGAATGTGGCCAAGTACCTCACCATCAACTTTGTGCTCCGGAACGACACAAAGTGGGCCAAGAAGGGCCACGAGGTCGCCTGGGCCCAGGTCCCGCTCGCCAACATCCCCAAGACCAACGCCCTGATCACCGTGGACGCCAAGGGCCAAGACGGCCAGAGCAGCGTCCGGGAGAAGAATGGTCGCCTCTACATCAGCCTCGCGGGCGGGTCCCGCCACTGCACGTATGATCTCATCCGGGGCAACTTTGCCTGGTCCGACGAGAAGGGCGAGGTCATCACCAAGGGCCCCGAGCTCAGCCTCTACCGCGCGCAGACCCAGAACGACGTGGGCGAGAGCGGCGACGGCCCGATCTGGGACCGCTTCCGCGTGCCGAGCGCCAGGATGCAGGTCCGATCCGCGACCTGGACCGAGAAGAACGGTGTGGTGCAGATTGTGAGCAAGGTCCGCGTGGCGCCCAAGGTGCTGGAATGGCGGTGCAACGCGACCATGACCTACACCATCACGGGGCAGGCGGTCGAGATCGACACCGAGGGTGACTTTTCGGGGACCTGCCCGGAGCTGATCCCGCGCATCGGGCTGACCATGTCGCTGCCCAAGTCATACGACCAGGCCGAGTGGTTCGGACGCGGCGCGGGCGAGTCGTACCGCGACAAGAAGGCGGCGTCGCGCTTCGGCCACTGGAAGGCGACGGTGGACGAGCTGTACACGCCGTACGAGTGGCCGCAGGAGAACGGCAACAGGACGGACACGCGCTGGGTGCGTGTGGGCGCCTCGGCGCCGGGCGGTGGCACGCCGCTCCTGGTCGAGTTGGGCGAGCCCTTTGACTTCTCGCTGCGGAAGCACAGCCTGGAGGACCTGGACAAGTGCAAGCACCCGCACGAGCTCACGCCGCTGGACGAGACGGTGCTCAACTTGGACCATATCCAGCATGGCATTGGCACGGGTAGCTGTGGCCCTGCACCGTGGGAGCACAACAGACTGAAGCCGGGGCCGTTCAAGTTCACCTCGCGGTTCCAGCTGGAGTAAAATAGGCTAGGGTATGATGAGATGTAGTGTCATGAATTCATGTTAACCCACCGATGCGTTATGCTGGGCAAGACATCGCACCACCAATGCGCCTGTGTACCTGAATCCTGATATTGACTCTAGCCCATTATTACTGATCACTTGTCCACGGACTCTGCTCGTTAATCAGCGTCATGCAATCCGTCAGCACTGCCGTGTCATGCGATACTTGGCATTCCCAAAGCAGCCAAGTCGTGTCTCGCGATTGGTCCCGCTCGGACTCTGCTCGCATCTCGTCCGAGTCAACTACCACATTGAACGTGGCACGGACGAGTCAGGGTCGCTCCGACGTTGCAAGGAAGCTTTGCTGACAGCTGTAGTCTATTTATGCCCTCATGAGTCGGTGTCCTTCCTTCCTGGCACAGCCACGCCCTGCCCACGACAAGACCGGACAGGAGTCATCGGACTTGGCAGTTCGGACCAGACGTAAGCAACATGGAGCTGCAAGGCTGGGGGAGATGAATGAGGATCGACAACCTTGGAGATGGACTCGACTTGATGCCCGCAGACACAGAACAAGGCTGTCTATTCACGTACACCGCATTGCTGCCACGTAATTACTCTCGACCAGGACATGGGAGGCTGAACTTGAAGCCATCGCAGGACTTGTAGGAGCCACTGCGTGGATTCTTCTATATAACCAGGTAGGCTCAGGCCATTGTCGGTCGGCACTGGACTAGAATTCTCCTCATCAACCGCCGTTCATTCAACAAGTCCCCTTCCTCCAGAATGCCATCCCTCTCCTCCCTGGTCACGACAGCCGTCGCCGTGTCCTCCCTCTGCGCCCCAGCCGTCGCCGCCAGCAAGCCATGCCCGCCTCTGGGTGCCGTTCTCCCCGCGCCCAAGACACTGAGCAAGCATGATGCCGTCAAGAAGGCTACCGCAGGCTTGACCGAGGCCTTTGACGAGCTCGCGGGCGCCAAGCTCAGCGCCTCCGCCGTCTCCATCGGCGTCAAGTCTCTCCACGAAAGCAAGCCACTGTTCGAGTACCACTTCACGCCGCCCGTGATTGGAGACTATGGAACCGACACGATCGACGCGGATACCATATACCGCGTGGGTAGCATCTCCAAGATGATGCCCGCCCTGGCCGCCTTGCAGAGCAGCAAGATTGATATGGACGAGTCCGTCCTCAAATACGTCCCCGAGCTGAAGAATGCCACGGGTGAGGGGCTCGCCACCACACAGTGGGAGGACATCTCCGTGCGCTCGTTGGCGAGCCACCTCGCCGGCCTGGCGACTGACTGTAAGTACGGCAGACTTGCCTCGCATGCTCCCCCGTTCACACTGAGTAGTGGCCCTGGATCTCGCCGCCTTCCCCAACCCGGCCTGGCAGCAGCTGGGTTTGCCCAGTGTCGTCAACGGCACTGGCCCGACCTGCTCTGGCCTCATGGGCACCAGACCGTGCACCGCGGAGGACCTGATCAAGGGCCTAGCCCGCAGCCATCCTATCTCTGAGCCCTACGCCAGCTCCCCGTCATACTCCAACGTTGGTTTCGCCGTGCTGGGCATGGTCGTCGAGGCGGCCACGGGGCAGAGCTTCAATGACTATGTCCAGGACAACATCTTTGACGTGGCCGGCATGGACAGGACCTCGTTTGACGGGTTTATCCCCGACCTAGAGGACGACGTCTTTGTGCCCCCCAGCGATCCGACATGGAACCGCACCCTTGGCGTTTTTGAGGCTGCCGGTGGCATGTTCTCGAGCACCAACGATCTGCTCGCCTTTGCCGAGGCCATCCAGAACCACGAGCTGCTCTCCGCCATCAAGACACGCCAGTGGATGAAACCAGAGACGCACACGTCCTCGCTTGGTACCTCGGTCGGCGGGCCCTGGGAGATTCTGCGCAGCGATAACATAACAGCCGACGGCCGCCTCATTGACGTCTATACAAAGTCTGGTGACTTGGGCTTTTACCACGCCCTCATGGGCATCGTCCCGGACTACGATCTCTCCGTCGTCGTCATCGCGGCTGGCCCAGAGGTCTCCGCCGACCCCTACACCCGCTCCAAGGTCTTCTCCCTCGTCCTCCAGGGTCTCCTCCCCGCCGCGGAGGCCGCTGGCATCGACGAGGCCGACAGGTTCCACGGCACCTACCGCGATGAGAACAACAACGCGACCCTCGTCGTCACCGCCGACGACGGGCCTGGTCTCCTGATCGAAGAGTTTTACGTCCGCGGCTTCGACGTCAAGAACAACATTGGCCTGTACTCCCTTGGCGCCAACGACGGCGGCTCGTCCAGCGAGGAAGCGCCGTCTGTCGTAGGCCGACTCTACCCTACCACACGCACAACGTCAAGTCACGACGGCAACGAGACGGCCTGGCGCGGCGCCTTTGACGCCCAGACAGACGAGGTCAAGCAGGCGCTGGCGGACTCGCTCTTCTGGATCGACGGGCAGTGCCAGGAGTGGTTCGGTGCGGACCGCGCCATGTACAATTATCTGGGCCTCTCTGACTTTGCCATGGTTGAGGATGCCGAGGGTGAGGTGCTGGCCATCAAGAACGCGGCCTTCAACGTGACGATGACAAAGGTGAGTGGCGAGGGGGGTGACGACGGTAACAATGACGGGCCGGACGAGGACAGTGGTGCCGTCTCGCGTCTTGCCAGGGGGAATGCAGCTCTGTTAGTGTTCACTTTGCTAACGGCTGCTTGCTCGCTGTAGGAAAACTGATGGACGATGCCAGTGTTTTACTGTACCAATCAATAACTACTCAACAAACCTGCTGACCCAGCGCCAGACTCCTAGAACCGTGATATCTGTCTGTGCACTCTTATAAAGCGTTCACCCCATGATGCCTCATTTCTGCCTCTCAAAGCTAAAGTTCCACACCTCCACCCTCTTCCCTCGATCGGAAGATTCCAGCATCCCCACGTGCTGCAGTACACTCGGGTCCAACGCCCACTTGGTCAAGCCCCTCTCGTCGCCAAAGACATCGATCATCATGTCCGCCGGGAACCGATACGGTGGCTCGCGTAACACCCCTTGCAGGCCCTCCAGGTGTCTGAGTGGAAACACGAGTCCCTGAGCGCAGCAGCCGTACTGAGGCATCTCGCGTACCTGGGGCGGTGTCATGATCCGATGTAGCGTGACGCGCCCGGTCAAGAAGACGAGCACAGTGGCCGCGGGCGCCCAGAGTCCAAGAATCAGCGCGGCCGTGTGGCCGAAGCTGTGAGGCGCCGGGGAGCCGATGCCCAGCTTTGAGTGCCAGCTGGGCCGTCGTCGGAAAGCCCACGCGACCATCACCAACACGGCCAGTATGCCATATGCGGTGCCAATCTTCCTCAGGTACTCGGGCACCTCCTCACTGTTCCAGCCCATCAGCATCTCGGAGTAAAACAGGCGTAGGTACAGCCAATCCTGCTTGCTCTCCGCGGAGCGCTGCTCGACCTCGTCAATGCCGTTCATCGCACGCTGGTACCAGTCCCTCGAGGCGATTACGTCGTCCTGCATGAGGGCAAAGTAGGGCGAGCCATGCTGCCTACATGCCTCGATCAGCACCGAATGATCCAGCTGGATCGTCTCGCCTCGGGTCCATCCTCTGCCCTTCCTGCGCACGTCATACGGTATGACACGATACGCCGAGTCCGGCTCGTGCTTGCCGTGCGCGTCTTTGTCGTCGTGATTCTCGTAGACCATGACATCGTCGGCCAAGTGCGTCAGCCAGGGTTCTCCATAGGCAGGGTGCGTCCTGGGGCTCCTGTCCGCCAGCAGCACGACAATGTGTATGTTGCCTCGCTCCTTGGCCGACAGGTTGTCGCTCAGCGTCCCGAGCGTGTGGAGCAGAGGCGTCGAGTGGGGACGGTGCACGCTGGGGATGCCCACGCAGAGCCGCTCGGTCTCGTGCGCCAGGCTAGCCTCGCTGGACACGCGCGAGGCGAGGAGGCGCTCGATGAACAAGGCCGCCTCCGACTGGCGAACGAGCGAGTGGGCGCGCCGGAAGGCTCGCTTTGGGCTGAAGAAGGGCGAGGATGGGTCGTCGGCAGAGTTGAGCCAGCACCACATGGCAAAGGAGAGCCATAGGAGCCAGAAGGTGTTGTTGGCTCGTGAGAGGCGCATCTTGCGTGCTGGTGGGGGGTTTGAGCAGTGTGTTGTAAAGGTTGATCTCAGCTTGAAGCGGGTGATTCTGTCGCCCGCGACAAGAATGGCTGATTGCACGGCCTTGGGTTAATGCTCGAGAAGACGGCTGCTGGCCAGGACCTGGACTGGACTCAACGCAGGTTTCCGCTTGCAATTGTCGTGTGCGACGCGCGTCCTCGTTCCGCGACTTCGTCCGTGTCACGGCACAGCGAGAAAGGCTGGAACCAGGGAAATCGTAAGTCAAGCGCTTGAGCTACTGGCTGCCGCATGTGAAAGAGCGATACGCGGCAGTCGCAGGTCGTCGACGTTGGTGAAGATACTGCTGTACCTGGTAGATGCGAGCAAGAAAGAGAGACTGGACCTGCCAAGGAAACGTTTTGAGTCCATTGATGGAGGACGAGGAGCCAAGGACTGGAGCCGCAGGAACCAGTGCCGATTGAAAAGCTTGTTTATTACAGGTCCTTAATTAGTTGCTCAATTAATAACTTACTTACGCAAGCCGGAGCTTGGTTGCCGCCCCCTGGATCCGCGCAGCGATCGACGCGCCATTCGACGTCTTTGGTTTGAGGCTGCGGCACCATCAGGGGCTGGCGGCAGCTGAGTGGCCGGCGGACTGGCTAAAAAGCAGCCTGGAGCCTGGACCAAGGATCATCAATGAATGCACAGAATTGCGCGCAAGCCATCGATCAATTGCGTGGGGATGGTGAGGCAATCGTCGGATCGAAAAATTATGCGTGGTTCAGGGCAAAGTGCCAGTGGTCGTGCGATCGGGCCTACCCTGGAGGCCCGCATCGCAGGCGGAAAACGCCAGGCGCGCAGGGCAGCCAGCTACTCTGATTCTGCGGTGCTTCACTGACTCAGTTCATGTTTTTCACGTCGGCAGATGCATGCATGGGGTTTCCTCCCATCATCAACACATGTCGGAGTGGTCGCGACAAAGAGTTCGGTAATCTGTCCGAAGTCGCTCGCCAAGGAGTCAAAGCCCCCAAGTTCAAGTTGAGTTCTCCTCAACTGCCGGCTTGGGTTGAGGCGGGTTCAAAACCTAGAGCGAGACCAGGAGACGGCGTCTACTTTTACCTACCGAAGTCCATCTACGGTGCGGGGAAACATGATGATGCATAATTTAAGAGCTCGGCAGATGCGCGTTTCCCCAGCCGCCAAGAAGATGTCGGAGTAGTCCCGACAGTCCAACTATCTATAAGACACTGCGATGGCCTCAACGACAGCTGAAGCGCGGGACGACACTGACAGCAAACATGCCATCACAACATGTCCTCGCCCTCACCGCCGCCCTCCAGGCCACGGTGGCCCTGGGCTCGCCCACAGGCGCATGCCCCTTGGCCGTCACGCTCGAGGACTACGGCTCCTTCACCAGCACGATCGTCTCGGAGACGCTGAGTGAGAACCCGTTGCCCAAACCTGTCGATGCATGGCTGGGCATCGACTATGCCACCCAGCCCACAGGCGACCACCGCTTCCGCCCCGTCACCTCGCCCGCTGTCTTTGATGGCGTCAAGGCCGCCGACAAGTATGGCAAAATCTGCGTCCAGGACGCCACACGGATCGACGTCCAACTCCAAGACGAGGCCTGCCTGAACTTCAACGTCTACCGCACACAGGGCGTCTCCATGGACGAGAAGCTGCCCGTCCTCGTTTGGATCCATGGCGGCTCCTTCAACATTGGCAGCTACAAGAGCTTTGACGGAGCAGCGTTTGCGGCGTCCTCAGAGCAGCCCATCGTCGTGGTCAACTTCCACTACCGCCTCAACTCGCTCGGCTTCCTGCCCTCGGCGCTAATGGAAGAGGAGGGCCTGCTGAATCTGGGATTGATGGATCAGCACCTCTTTTTGCAGTTTGTGCAAAAGCACATTGCGTCCTTTGGAGGCGATCCCGACAGGGTCACGCTGGGTGGACGCTCGGCAGGGGCGCACTCCACGGGCATTCACTACTTCCACAACTATGCCATCGGGGACGACGAGAGCGCCTCTCCCAAGCCTCTGTTCGCTGGGGCCATCCACCAGTCCGGGTCCGTCACCGCGCGCGCATTCCCCAATGCGACATATCCCCTGTATGAGCAGCAGATGGAGGAGTACATGTCATTCTTAGACTGTTCTCACGGGTCCGACGTGCCCAATGAAGAGTCTCTTGCCTGTCTGCGGGACGCCGATATTAACTCCATCCGCGAGATCAGCGCGGCCATCTACGACAAATATGACCCCGTTCTCACTTGGCCTTTCCAGCCGACCCAGGGTGGTTTTCTCCTCGAAAAGTTCGGCTCCCAGTCCGGTTATGATGGCACATTCTTCCACGTGCCCACCATCACCTCGACGACCACAAACGAGGGCAGGTTCTACACACCCGGCAACCTGGAGACAAACGAGGACTGGCTCGACTACCTGCACAACATCTCACCAGAGCTCACAGACGCTGACCTGGCGCTACTCGTGGATCTGTACCCCGATCCTGCCACCGACACCGACTCGCCGTACGCCCACTCGCCCAACAGCACCCAGTACAAACGCATCTCCGCCGCCTGGTCGGATTACGCCTACCTGTGCCCTAGCCAGGAGACCGCCCAAGTAGCATCCCGCGCAGGCGTCCCCGTCTACAAGCTCCGCTTCAACACGAACCAGACCTTCCCCGCCTGGCAGGGCATCCCCCACACGGCGGACACCATGTACACCTGGGATGAGCCCGACGTGCAGCACCCCGAGATCAGCAAGGTGTACCACGCATACCTCGCGAGCTTTGTCGCGAGCGGTGATCCCAACACGTTCCGCTGGGAGGGGACGCCCGCGTGGCCCTTGTATGAACCGGAACAGGGCGGGGACGAGAGGCCCAAGCAGCTGGTCGTGCAGCCGGGAGACGCCAAAGTCGAGAGGGACGACGTGAGGACGGACGCTTGCCAATTCTGGCGGGATCCCGCGCGGCAGTCCAGGCTGAATAAATGAAAGCGTATCATGTCTCGTCGTTATAGGAGTACATACAGGAGAGAGAGTACATATACTAGAGTACAACACTGCCTAGCTGGCCTCCAGCTCGCCTGTAGAAAACCACTCGCACCGTATCCTCAACTCTCCGACGCCTTGCTCGAGCAGGAAGTTCCGGACACTGGCCGCGAAAGCATCAGGACCGCAGATAAAATACTCGGCCGCGCCGTGGTCCAGGCCCAGGACACTCCTCTCCACCCTCTCCAGCTCCGTCCGCACACTCTCAAAGACGCCGTCCCGCTCAGGATTGTGCGTTTCTCGCTGCTCCTGCTCAGCCAGCATGCTCCGCCAGAACCGCGAGTGGAAGTTCTTGTGTCGCCTCCCCACCGTGCGTATATGGTCCTCAAAAAGCGGTTTCCTCCGCGAGCAGTGAATCCATGAGATCTGCTGCTGCACGTCCGGCGACTCGAGGACAGAGTTGAGTATACTCATCAGTGGCGTCGCGCCCACGCCGGCGGACAGAAATACCAGGGGGCCCATGCCACCGGCTGTGCTAGAGTCGAAGCCAAACCCGCCGGCTGGATGGGACACCGACAGCGTGTCGCCGATGTTGTAGTCGTTGATCAGGAGGTTCGATACCAAGCCGGGTTTGAGATGGGCAGCATCAACGCTCCTCCCGTTGGCGCCGCTCGGCACGCCCCGGTCTCTCTTGACGCTGATCCGGTAGTATTCCTCGTTGGGCGCCTCGGAGAGGGAGTACTGCCTGCTCTGGAGGTATCCGATCTGGGGGACGTCGACCCGCACGCTGACGTACTGGCCCGGCGTGAAGAGAGGGAGGGGCGTCTTGTCCACGGGCCACAGGTAGAAGGAGTAAATGTCGTCTACCTCAGCCACCTTGTCCTCAATGCGAAAGATGCGCTGGCCCGCCCACTTGCCGAATTGACGGTAGAGCTGCACCTCGCGCCCGATGAGCATGCGCGCGAGGAGCGAGTAGGCCTTCTCCCACGCCTCTCGCAGCTCGGCCGTGTATCGATCCCCAAGGATCTCGCCAAAGGACCGTAGGAGATACTTGCCGAGGAGGTCGTACTGGTCAGGCGTGATGCCCAGCGAGCAGTGTTTCTGACACACGCGTTCCAGTCGGGGGATGAGCTCGGCCGTGTGGTTTGGCGCCGCGGCAAAGGCAAGGATGATGTTGAGAAGAGCGCGAGGCTGGCGACCGGTGGCCTGGTTCGCCGAGTTGAAGATGTTGTGGAGTTCGGGGTGGGCGCGCAGCAGCGAGGCGTAGAAGCTGGATGTGATGGTTTCGCCCTGCGCCCGGAGCATAGGCAAGGAGCCCCTGATCAGAGTCGACTGCCTGTACGTGAGAGACATTGTGCATGTGCCCGTGGCCAGGGGATCGTGTCGAGCATGGTATATGTAGGCGAGCGCCGCGAGTGCTGACTACGTCCCGGCACGTACGTATTAGAAATATTCTTCTCCTCATGGTGCCGGCAAACTTGCCACGAGGATCTCGTCAAGGGCCCCCGTCCCCGTGCCGCGTTTGGCTTGCCCAACTTGTCACGACCCACGGCCGGATCATACGATTATGCGCGAGGGACCCGACTAATCGGCGACCCTAGGACGGCCGCGAAAACCTTTTTTTTGCATGCCGGCTCCGTTGACAACGTAAATAGAGTTCAGGGACCACGGCTGACGTAACAGCCTTCTCGAACGGCCGGAACTCTCCGCACGACCCTCAGCCGCAGGCCTCGAATCAGGCCACTTTGACCGGGGGCCTATGCATTGGTCCGTCTCGGCGCAGATGCACGCTCTAGAAAATCGGTCAACACTAACAGTGAACACCGACAGGCCGCCCGTAAAGGTAAAGATTTAATTAGTGATTCACACATCACACGACGTAGCCAAGATTCTCCCGCTCATCATCCACAATCCGCCCCCACTCCAGCAGCAGGCGAAACATGTATATCTGCATGTCCTCCGGCCGCAGAGCCCTGCTGGCCCACTCCTTGCCGTTTGTCGCAATCTTCTGCGCAATCTCGTCGCCCGTGTGCTTCGACTGGTCGTGTCGCTCGCTGCTGCCGAGGTAGCGCAGCACGGACCAAAACCCGTTCCCGAGCCGCACGTCGATGGGGATGTAGTGATGCCACTCCCGCAGTCGCTCGTCATACCACGTCTTGAAGAGCGCGGCCCGGTACACGACACTCTTGGACTGCAGAAAGGGCAGGAATCGCCCGCTGAACCCGGCGCCGTCCACGTCAATCAGGTGGCGGTAGTGCCAGTGCTCGTCAAATGCTGTGACGGGCGGAAGAGGCCACTCTGCTTCGGGCTGGTAGTCCTCTGTCAGCGTGGCTTTGCCCCAGTGCGTGAACGTGGCGAGCTCCGCCCAGTAGTCCGCCGCGTGGCATTTCTCGATCCGCCCGGCATAGGACACGTTGACGCCGACGGACTGGTCCAACATCGGACCCCGTTGAAAGCCCTCATTGACCAGGCGTGCTCTCACGAACCCGGTCCAGGTGCCGTCCCAGGCGTACCCGTCCGAAGGTGTGCCTCGCCAGAACAAGGCGTTCTGCTTGTCTTCCCACGCGAGATCCTCCGCCTCCTCGTACTCCGACTTCAGATTGAAGTTCCAGGGTGACGGGAACAGTATATCGGAAAATCCGCCAACACGCGACTGGCTGAAAATGGGTAGGAGCTTCTTGGTCGTCACAGCGGTTGGCGCCAGGATGAAGCCATCCAGGTACGCAAGGTCTGGCTGATAGCAAAGGTTGTTCGCCATCCCCGGATGCGCCATGACGGCGCCTTCGTCGGTCAGGATTGAGTGCGGCGCCGCGCATTGGATGCAAGCTGTGCTTCTATCCCACCATCTGCGATCTCGCGCTGGAGAACCCGCAGGACACGTCGGCGCCACCCATTCGTAGTAGAGCGGCTTTCGAAGATTGCTCGAGAAGTCAGGTGGGATGTCTGATGATTCGTAAAAGTCCCCGTGCACGTCTACCCAGTCCTTGGGCCACTTCTCCCTCTTTTGTGGCCATCTGCGGGACACGACGTTCCCGTCCGTGCTCTTCTGCGCGGCCGTTTTCCGCGTGGCAGTCGCCTTCTCCAACAAGGCTGCCTTGTCCTCGAACGGAACCGTCATGCGACACTCGTCACCCAGGTTGATGGCCAGATCCATGTCCGGCAGCCACTGTGCAAAGGGGGCGATCATCCTCTCGAGAGACTCGGCCATCCAACGATGCGTGCCCGGGATGTGGGGTGACTGCTGGAGGACGCCGTTGCGGATGCGAAGACCACCCATTTCGAGACTCGAGTAGGCGAGGATATGCCCCGTCTGTGCCCTGATCTCCACAGGCTCAACACCCCAGAATGGCAGCAGATCCTGGTGAATCTGGTCAAAGCTGTCAATGATGGGCGAATGGTGTTTGGTGGCAAACTCGTGCCATTTGTCAAAGTTGGGCGGTGGCGCAATGCTATAACGCTTGCGGTACTCCGTCACGGCATCCTTGAGGCTCTTGCTGGCGGCTGCCTTTTCCGCCCACTGATGGGCATCCATCTCGGCGACCTGGAACAGTTTGTTAATGGCCGACGGCAACGCCATGCCCACGCCATGCGGTGGCAGCAGGAAGGCCCAGATTGCGCAGATGCCAACAATGCACAAGAACCCCAGCCTCGTGACATGGTGCAACACTGCAGTTGTGGAAGCTCTGACCTTTCCGTCATTTGGCTTGGTGAGAAGGACCAACAGTGTCGTCAAGAGAGCGGCAGCTAGTGATGACCCAAGAACCAAGTTGGGCGACATGGGCGCTAGGAGCGGACCGGCCCCAAGGTTTGGTATTCTAAACCCAAACAGACCCAGAGAGGCGATGATGAACGCCAAAGTAGACGCCTCCAGGTACGCCATCAAGGCTAGTGCACAAAGGACCACCAAGACTGCAACGCTCGAGTCCAGAAGTAGATCTCGGATCTCGACAGCGTTGAGTCGTAGAGTCCAGTAGAGGCTCATTTCGATGAGTATTGGAGAGACCGCCACGATGGCAGAGCCCGCAGCTGCCATCATAAAGAGTGCACTAAGAAATTTGGAGGTATCGCGCCTCCCCTCAACTTCGTATCGACGCAGCCTCGAGACCTGAGCCAGGATCACAGCGTCCAGCAAGCACATGGTCATCTGGAGAAGCGGTGTCAAGGGCCATACGCGCCAACCCACAGGGCATACTGCCCCTGTGCGGATATGCAGGCTCCCGAGTGCCCACATGGAGCAGAGCGCCCACGCAAACGCGACGATAGTGTAGACGACTCGTTTCGACTGTCGAGGCACAGGGCTGCGGTCGAGAGGCAGGTTGGCACCACCAAGGCGATCGGTCGCGTATGTGATGATCTGGCTGGCAGCCAGCGTCGCAAAGGGCAAAAATGCCTACAGATGTCAGCGCATTGTTCACAACCAAGATGCTTCATGGGGCTCCCACCTCTATCCCAATCCAGCCGCATTGTGCTTTACGCAAGGTGTACCAGAAGAGTATCGTGCGTGCGATGAGACAGACGAGCAGTGTCCGAAACAGCACATGTAGGCGCGTCCATGTATCGTAAAAGCGCGCAGCCACTCTAAAAAGTCCCTTGTGCTCAACGCGCAGCGCTGGTTTCTGCGTGAGTCGTACGACCTCGAGGGGCGGTCCGTGGCTGGTGCTCCATTGCGCTCGACATTGAAGAATGACACTGCAGGCGAGTAGCGTGATGACCGTGAAGAAAACAGGTCGCTCTACCACCTGTCAGCAATGGTTTCGGGTTACTAGCATGTCGGAAAAGGAGGAGCGCACCGAAGGACGCGCTTATGTAGAATCGCGAAGACAAACGCCAGCTCCCCAGCGCCAAGCCCCTGGGTCATGGTCAGTACGAGCAAAGGGCATCGAGACGAGCAGGCGGCAGACGTACAGCAATGACAAGAGACTCAATGCTTGCCGGCTATCAGTGATACGCATTTCGACGCATTGGACGCGTCGTTCAACCGGCAATGGGCAATGAAGGGGCTGGATACATGTATGTGGTGAGGTGATGAAGTCAATGCTTGGTGCTGGATGATATTTGGGGCGTGGACCGTGGCCGCGTCTCCGTTTGCCGTTTCGTATGCTGACATAATCAGGCGGACGCTCTTTCCTGAAGCCTGAGTCCTGATCTCGCGCTCGGAATATTCATTCACAAGTAACTTATTGTAATTACATCTACTCTATCACAAAAACAATCGTAATTATTATCGAGGTTGACTACTATGCTGGGTCGCGACACATTAAACTTATCCGCTAAGGATGTCAATTCGGAATTTGCTACTGCTAACCCTATACATCCCGGCAAGACTAGCGGAAGCCAAATTGCGTCCGCAACTTCGTCTTTACCTACGCTTCCACTGCGAGCCTCAACCCGACTACAAGGTGTACTTGAACAGAGGACTCTTGTCGCCCATCTTCATCAGATCCCGATCGCTGTACTGCTCCCGAATCTCACTCATTGAGCTTCGCCCGTTTCGCGTTGCCCCACTTGTAGCTCAGCTCGAGGAGGATCGCGACCAGCATGCCACTGGCACCAAAGGCCAACGAGAGACCAAATCCGGTCTCGTAGGTGGGCGCCTCGCGATCGAGATACATGTAGCTGCCGATAATACCACCAATGTTGCCCACGCAGATGTTGAAGGCCACGCCAATGGCACGACGCGAGGATGGGGCCAGGTTGTTGGCCGCCCATGACGAACCGGCTGGCTGCACGGGATAGATGCCCATGCACGAGAGGACGAGAGCAAAGTATCCGGGACCAACATGGCTCCCCGTCAGATTTCCCTGGAAGGACATGATGACCGCGTAGCCAATGGTGATCAGGCCGAGAGGCATGACGACAAAGGGCATGCGCCAGTGGAAGTGGTCGGACAGACGCGCAAAGAAGATGGAGGACGCGGCACCGGCCACGTACGCAGGGGCAGTCATGAGCTGGGCGTTTTTGTTGGTGAAACCCATTCCCTTGACGATGGACGGCAGTGTAAACTTGGTGCCGTACGAGCACGCCGAGATGCACATGAGGATATACGCCTGCATGTACAGGCGCCAGTTGGTCACAACCATCTTGACATCGTGCCAATTGAACTTCTTGTCGTCGTGCTCGTCGGCAAACCGGCCACCCTGCTTGATGAAGTGCTGTAGCTCGAGGAAGCGGATCTCCTCGGGGCGGAGCCAGCGAGAGGAGAGCGTGGGCGAGTCGATGAGGAAGAAGAAGCAGCTGACGCCGAGCGCGACGGTCACGATGCCCTCGAGGATGAAGATCCACCGCCAGCCCTCGTAGCCACCAACACCGTCCATCTGCGCGATGCCAGCGGCCAGCAGACCCGAGAAGGCACC